CAAACACCACCTTCTGAATGTGCCGTGCATGATCTGAGCGGTCGTCTGAGTCATGACGTCATGAGACAGGTGTCACTGTACTTGTCAGCTAGCAGTCAGCATACGACAGTAGTATCAGTACGACAGCACTCAGCAGTGTCAGAATTATTTAAAAAAAAATGTAACTAGACTATAGTCTAGAGCTAGCTAGAGATCAGATGCAGAGGTTTCGCACGGCGTTCAAGTCAGGGCTGGGAGTCGTATAATTATAATTATTAAAGGTTGAGACGACAAAACGAGGAACACGTCAGAGAACATCTTGGATCACGTTATATCATCACCCGCACGTGGATTGAGGGGCCGCGAGATCACGACCGCGCGAAAGTGCTGTACTTGCCAGTCTGTTGTACTTGTAGCACTCTATTATTATTATAGCAATAAAAACTGCTTTATGGCAGTTTTCTAAAAAAAGTTATTGTGTTCTAGTCCATGGACCCCGTCTAAAAAGTAAGAAATTAACGAAATGTGATAGCCGAAAATTAAAATTTCACACAAAACCTCACAATAATCACAACACTTGAAATGCTGCTTTCAACACTAAACTTGTACTGCACCAACAATTGGCAACATGCATGCATAGGAAAGAGGATCACGAGGGGAAAAGGTCTTCTACGAGTACATGTAGCTTTTCATTCTGTGTGTGATTATTGTGAGGTTTTGTGTGAAATTATAATTTTCGGCTATCACATTTCGTTAATTTCTTACTTTTTAGACGGGGTCCATGGACTAGAACACAATAACTTTTTTTAGAAAACTGCCATAAAGCAGTTTTTATTGCTATAATTTCTTTTGTTTTTTCTGTCACCATGTACCAATCAATGGAATGCCCTATATCAATATGTAAATGATGGCCTTCACATCATATCAATACCGTATTATACGCATTGATGTGCAAGCCTTTTCTTGCAGAAAATGGCACTAGCATAATGCAATTGCATGTTTTTCTGCGGGGAAACATGACATGCGAGTAGTGGTCTGGTGGTGGTGATACTTTTTTTATACGGAGGTCATTCTGTGCATGTGTAGTATCCCTGCTTTACAGTTTACACATGACTAGTACTAGTAGTACATGTATTTTGCATGACTCTTATTGTTTAGAAGCATACAGTACTTCCTACATTTACGATTGTTCTTCCATGATCCTTGCATGGCGCCACTACACACTGGAGAGTAGCTAGACCAACACATATTATCAGTAGTCTTCATTGTTTCTAAATACAATACTTGTGCCGCTATGTTTCATTTGCAAGAGGTCCTTGTGCAGTTGTATGGACTTATCTGCACTGTGATATCAGTCTCATGCTCCAATGCTTCCTTTGTAGCACTGATGCGCGCTGCGAGTAATCAATGGCATTTCCAGGTTGCTTGCTACACTATCGCATACATTCTTTAGCTGTTTTGCTGCCTGCTGCTTGTTTCCCGCAATAGACCCCAGCTGAAGCTTCCTAGCTGGCCCCCCTTGCCAACGGCCTTGTTAGATTCTATATAAGTTCTCTAGTTTTGCATCTCAGGAGAGAGATCAGAGAGAGGAGAGAGAGTCGTGGTTGAGAGAGAGCAAGTTCACTTTCACTTTGATATAAGATAACCTCCAGGCCGTGCCGGAGTAAGTTCAGATACGTTGGTTGACTGACTGTGGGTAGTAGCCTCCTAGCCTTAGGCCACGCACGTTACACATGTTGCTGTTGCAGAATTTCATGACTGTCATAAAATTGTCTTGCTTTCAGATATTTCAGATTTCCCCACCCTCGATCAGATTTACACTGTATTTGAGAAATGTAGCCAGGTTCGTGTCCCAGATGTTTTTTGTTGATTCTGTGTTTATAATGGTTTATAATCATGGGTTATCGTGATAAGGTCATCCTGCATCATATTGCACTGAAATGGTAATCCTGTTGATGTCGACACAACTTTTGGAAGTAGTTCAATGACTTTAAACTGTTAGTCCACGATTTTCTAGAACAACACAGCAAAGGAGGAACAATAAACATGTATTAAAATGTAAACAAATACATTGCTGAGTCCGACACCTCGTTCCAACAACTACATTGATGCTGAGGATAAAAGGGGCAAGGCTATGGTTGGAGGTACTGAGAGATAAACAAGGCACTCCACAATAATAAAATCTTACACATCTTTTGGTGAGTATGAATGATATCCAGTCGAACCTCTTTAGGACGAACACCAAGGGACCGATGGTATTTATTCTGTGAGTTTGTCTTAACCTATTTTATAACCAGTGAATACAATTATTTCCCCAATAGACATACGAATAGATTTCTTCTACAGCGAAAGATTCTAAGCCACACCGACTCATTGACTCATCTCGTATGAAACAAATGAGTCACTAGAGAGGTTCTGCAAAACGAAAATGCGTACAAACTTTCGCCTACGTCATGAAGTGCGAAACTTCGCACGAACTTTCGCAACTTTGGACGCGAAACTTGCAGGGAACGCGAAATGAACTGTCGTAGGAAATTTCGTGAGATCAGGTCATGGCGTACGGGCACTTGGCCCGCGCAAACTACGAAAATGTGCAGAACGCAAAGTTCGTGCAAAAATTCATACACACTTTCGCAAGGACTGTCGCGAAGCTTCGTTCGAATTTTCGTTTCGCAAGGACTGTCGCGAAGCTTCGTTCGAATTTTCGTTTCGCAGAACCTCTCTACTGAACCTTTCTTTAGCAACATGACGGCAACTGAAACAGAAACAGAGAAAGTACGGTACATGTACTCCACATTCTTGCAGGTACTACAAACAGATTGCAGATCGTAATTCTTGCTTTGGCGGCACGAAACTGTATTTGGGGCAGTGCAATCTCGGTGGTACTCACAAATCAAAACGCCCAGACTCTGGAGATTCTCCCCGATATGCGAATTTATTTTGCAAACTCGGTCAATGGGTCCTTGAACCTTTCCCTCCAGATTGGGAACTGCCAACAATAGTATGCCACTGACCAGCGCATTACTTGTAACGTACTAATGTACAATGAATATGAGTATTTCGACAACACATCTAACATAAGCCTTACCGTCAAGAAGGTGAACTCGCGTTCTTCGCACACTGTAGACAAGGGCAAGAGATAAAAATGAATCTAAATCCGAAAAAGATCAGCACACATTTCCGTAAAATTTAGTGAAAGGGCTCACTGAGCATAATAAGCAAATGAATCGAAGGAAACTGGTCAACTCAGAGATCACCTGTCATCGAGTATTCCGTAAAAGGAGGCCTCGGCAGCGGAAAAGCTAAATTTAGAAAAGAGATCCTGTCAGCTTTTCAATTATTTTTTTGCATTCCGCCCAAAATCAGCACACTTTTCGTAAATGAAAGAGTAAACACAAGCAAATGAATCAAAGGGAACTGGTCAACTCACCTGTCATTGAGTAATATTCCGCGAAAGGAGGTCGCAGCAGCGCCGAAACGAAATAAGCCAGGCCAGGAGACGAAATATCCGAAAAAGCTCATGCAAGAAGCAGTTCCAAAGAAGGAAGTTCCTCGTGCATGCACATCCGAAAAGGCAACAACAAAAAGTCTGCAATACACACGCATGCGGCCAGCCGGCGCGATGGTAGGAGCCATGGAGTAGCTCCCTCGGCCAACTCGGCCACGCATGAGAGTGTGTGCATGTACGCGCGCACGCAAGCGCGCACGTGCACACACACCATGTATTCGGTGCGTATGGCGTACCTGTTGCGGAGATAATGAAGATGGAATCATTATCATGATGTTACATGTACAGTGTATGTTTGAGTGTAAAGTAATTTTTATTTTATTACACATTTCTTCGACACAACTTACTCCACATCTTCGCATTTCTCATAATCCATCCATCTACACTCCGTCTCAGTTGAGGAAAATTCTCCCAGGTATACACTAGTCACCACAGCCATGTGATGACATTGGGATGGGCCCCAAGCACGACTGCACTCTCCAGTTACAATATAATTTATTTGTCCAGATTATCTGTGAAGACAAAATGCAATGCATAGCGGCAATCGATGGATGAAGAGAGAGTTTGTAAATACACATATCTTTCCACTTGTTCAGGAGCTTACCTTTTGGAGTTCACATCGTTTACACGATCTCTTATGCTGTCTTGCACCTTGGCTTTGTTGACCATGGATACGCCATCCCAGAAGACATTCTACAGGAGCTACTAATGCAGAGCGTTCAGTTCACGCTCGATCTCGGCGATCTACCTCGTCACGCCAATAAAATCCTCCGTGACACTGGCTACAGTCACAAGAGACGTCTCAGTAAGGTAATGAGCACGACAACGCCGTCGAGATCAAGGACAAAGAGAAAACAAAACACTCACTGAAAACAGCAAAGAAGAAACGAAGAAATGTACACGATTCCTATATGTTGCCACTGACAACTGGTTCGGTGGAGACGACGCTACTTTTGTTTGTCCCCAGTGGGATCGTTGCTATGCGTATCGAAGGAACTGTGACGTCATCACTTAACAGCCCCATAGATCTCGCAAAAGATCGATAGAATTCCCCAAAAATTCCCAAAATTTTCTCAACGATAGTATTAACTGGTTTGAGGGAAAGAGACAAACGGGAAAAGTCTGAAGAAAAAATTGACTGTCACCACCAGGACTCGAACCAGGGACCCTCGCTTGTAGCCAGCGATGCTCTAACCACTGAGCTATGGTGTAGTCGTCATCCCAGCAGAGGCCGTTCAACATTTTCTTCAGACTTCCCAAATTATTCCGGGAATAATCCGCGCACGCGCACCCCTAATGCGAACCAGGGAGTCGTAAAAATATTTTACGACTCCCTGATGCGAACTAACTTTCGATCGCGAGGGCGTCAGAGTGACGTAACTCATACAGAAAAGTACAGTTCAAATTTTCAAAAAAGACTTTTTGCCTCGTGGACGTGGTGGTGACCGGTGCACCAGCTAGCCTACACACTGCACTGCATGCATGCCTGCACTGCAGTGCATACTGTAGTTTGTCCTTCCCTTTTTACATGTTTGTGTAATTTTCAGAACTGAAGTGTTCCAGTCCACCACGAATGATCTGAACTGAAGCAGAGAGTAGTATACTTAGTAATCGTAAGTAGCACCGCTCTATTTTATTTCACTACATGTACTCCCGATCCCTGATCTGAAGGTCGTTGATGAGTTCTGGTCTGGTCATACATGGCTTTTCTTGGATCAAAATAAACCACGCCAACATAGTGATGCCGTAGTACTAGTAACAGATCGCCAGAATGCAACGCACGCGGATTGCCGTCATTGGCGCAGGAGCAGCTGGCCTGAGCGTTGCGAGGCATTTCGTGCCCGGTCCAACATACGAAGTGGTGATTTACGAACAATCTGACCAGGTTTGAATATGATAAAAATTAATGATTTTGTGATTTTGAGCCCATTGTCCAGGCATTGGAGAATAATTTGTGTTTTCCTGTTTGCAACTCCCTCAAACTAATGAATAATTGTGCAAATCCCGGCTATACACTCACACCTGTGTTATGCGGACTTTGATCTACTGGGCACCCTTTTGGGCGAGTTTCAGAGACGTTAGAGAGGTTCCGCATAACGTAATTACGTTAGTAAAAAACGTAGTCGATCTACGGACAGTCTTACGTAAACTGCATGCGCGCATCTGTGTTCCGTCATGCGGAGTTTTCAAATCACGTAGCTGCCCTTGGCAACTGTCCGAACGCGGCAGTGTACGACCAGATCGACCTGGGGGAAGTCATGAATTTGTACCCCAATCCACCTACGGACCAGCTACGTTATCAGAGTCCTATCTACGTACTCTACGTAGACAACTTTCTGTAAGTGGAGTGCAAACTCGCGAATTCACAGGTTTTTCCCGCCCACTAACGTAAAGTTGCTCAACTTTACCAAATATCAGAGAGGTTCTGCACTACGTGAAGTTGAGCAACTTAACGTAAATGGGCCGCGGGGGAAACCCGTGAATTCGCGAGTTTGCACTCCACTTACGGAAAGATCTACGTACGAGTACGTAGATAGGGCTGTGACAAGGGGCTCGGGAGGTGCTCTGTAACTGGATTGTGATACAAATTATTCATGACTCGCTCCCCGGGTCAACCAGGTCGTACACTGCCGCGTTCCGAGTTGCCAAGGGGCAGCTACGTGATTCGATGGTACGTAGAAGATGCGAGCGATGAAAATTTCTTTTTCTACAAGCCGTATCGTAGGGCCTGCTCACCAAGCAAGCGGAGATTCCAGGTGTCAAGGACTCCAGGATTTTCCAAGATCGTTATGGAGCGGAATATTCACTTGACTCCTGTCAAAGTGCGGAAGGAGCCATCCATGAGATCTGTTCCTGTATCGCTCCAGCCCAGTCTGCCAGCTGTCCTGTGGCGACTTGTTGTTGTGTTGGATATAACTTGTGACCGTTTAGTAGTGCATTTCTGTGTGCAACATGGCTCAGTACGCATAGAATGGAGTTTCCTCCGTTTATGTTTTTTCCCGCCCGCCCACGTGCCTTTTCCAGAAAATGTCCGACGGGAAACAAAGAATTAACTTTGTTTGGCCTTACGGACAGTGCCCGGTCCCGGACTGCCCTGATAAACGAGGTATGCATGTACACTCGGACGTCTCTTATTCGGGCACCTTGGGACCGGGCACTGCCCGTATCTCAGGATAACTCATCTACCATCACACACACACATGCACATAACCAAGAGTGTGCAACTCGACGATCCCCCAATTTTTTTATGACATCAGTCTTTGGCGGCTGTTTGGCTCGCTGATGCCATCATGCGTAGCCAGAGATCAAAGTACAAAGAATTTGTACATCACAGCTACTGTAGTCGAAGCAGAACAACGGACGATAGATCGATGTTTCCTGAACCTGGTGGACGCTCACCGTATCTACAAAAATGCGCGGGAAAGCGTACGCACTTGATCATACTTCAGCCAAAGAATGACGCAATAAAAAAATTCCGCCGTGGGTGAACCCATCGCAGCTCGAGATAGGAGTTGCACACTCTTGGTTATGTACTCTTGCTACCATGTATCATATCATTTTTTTGAAGAAGTATATTTGGAACGTATTGCACATGTTCACGATACAAAAGGAACCCATTGATAAAAATGTGTGGATTACATAGGTTGGCAGTGAAAAATAAGCACGTCCACATACGGAAAAAAGTTTCAAAACCCCAAATTTGAAGCATTTGTGCCATAGGAACTCAAGCTGAAGGTGCCCGGTAGAGAGAAGGTGCCCGGTAGAGAGACGTGCCCGTATCCAAGGCGTCCGTATAAGAGATGTTTGGGTGTAATTAAAAATGTAAAGGTGCCAAGTTTCCAAAAGAGTGTTTGATGCTCAAAGGCAGAGCTACTTACAACAAGAAGGAGGAAGAAAGTGTTGTGACTAAGTCACTCTGGGTTTCAGCAAGAGCGCCTAACCCCCAGGAGTGTGCAACTCCCGCATACCCTGCTGTCCCGTCAGAATTTCCAAGTTGACGTCATTTTGATGATGTAATGCTCCTTGTACCAGTGACTTCTGACATCTGTACGGGGTGTTAGCGCATCAAATGGGGCTTTGTCCAGAACAGGTTCAGGATACGTCTCATATTATGTGTACAGGGCGCGCATTGCAACATAAAAAACGACATAAACTCGAAATTCTGTCGGGACAGCATCCGTGGTGGAGTTTCCTGCTCTGGGGCGGGGGTTACTTATGTACTCTTGGTTCCACCCAGGGGGTTATTTATGTACTCTTGGTTCCACCCAGGGGGTTATTTATGTACTCTTGGTTCCACCCAGGGGGTTATTTATGTACTCTTGGTTCCACCCACACGTAGACGATCATCAGACAACAACCATCATCAGGCAATCTGTTGCCTGATGATGTCGTGAAGCTCAGAGTCGCAACACTTTTTCCCACCATTGGATACAGGTCCACGGTGCTGCTGTCAATGGAACCTTCTTTCCCTTCCTCATAATGTTTAATTAAATATTATTCTTGTGGCCTTTAGGTTGGCGGAACATGGGTGTATCGTGAAGAGGTACCAGAGGAGAGTGAGGACCGTACGGTGCATAGTAGCATGTACATTAATCTCAGGTATGTGTGTGTGTGCGTACGTGTGTGTGTGTGTGTGTGTACGTGTGTGTGTGTGTGTGTGTGTGTGTGTGTGTGTGTGTACGTGTGTGTATATGTATGTGTATTTATGGTGTGTTTATCTATATATATGTGTGTGTGTGTGTGTATGTGTGTGTGTGTGTGTGTGTGTGTGTGTGTGTCTGTGTGTATGTGTGTGTGTGTGTGTGTGCGTGTGTGTGTGTGTGTTTGCCCCATGTGTGTTTGCCCATGTGTGTGTCTGTCTGTGTGTGTGTGTGTGTGTGTGCGTGCGCACATGAGAGAATTGTTTTGGGATATTTCTTGATATTCTCGCGCATAGTCATGTTGTTCTAGGCTTTTTGTTTTGGGTTCACCAATCCTGCTTGCCGTGGTGTGAAATTGGATTTCGTTTGTTTAAAAAAAATCATATGGCTGGGGTTCCTGTAATCTTCACGGGCTTCGCTTTAATTATGTTCATTATTCCCGTAAATTTTCTGTCGTGATTGAGAGAGGCGAATGAATTCTGTACACAATTACTTCACGGCCGATGAGGACAATCGTACTCGGAAAGCAGCTCTTCTCCATCCGCTTCTCTCTCAGCGGTGTGGCAGTGAGTGTGTTCGATTTTTCCTGAAAATCGATTTTGAATCCATGCAAGAATCGCCCCTGACTATTCTCATCACCCGATGTGAATAGGATGGATCGATTACGAACCGATTCCAGGGCTCATGGCATAAATTCGAACGACGAGATTCCATTCACGAATCGATTCACTGCAGTAATCGAACGCACCCATTGATTCTTCTCTTCCTGTCCGTCTGAATTTCAGGACCAACTTGTCCAAGGAAACAATGGCGTTTCCTGACATGCCGTTCCCAGACGACCTGCCGACTTTCGTCGGGCATCGCGACGTCCGTCAGTATCTCACCGACTATAGCATGGTGTATGACATCGAGCCGCACATCAGGTTTCACACCAGGGTAACCGACGTCCGTCCCGTCACGGATCGTGCCCCCCACGGTGTTGGGGACGCCGCCGTGCGTAGCTCTGGTGAATGCACCAGCGTCGACAGTGGTGGCAGTCCGCTGGTTGATATAGGACCGCGGTGGCAAGTCACCGCACGGTCACTCGACGGCGAAAACGGCGTTGCCGGTGCTACTCCCGTGGCCGACCAACAGGAGACTTTCGATGCCGTGTTTGTCTGCAACGGGTGAGCTCTTTAGACGGGTAGTACTTGTTCTTATCAAGTTATCATCCTGTCTGTTTTGCTGCCGGGTTGATTTAGCATTTTGAGATACCGTATTTTCCCCATTAAACGTCTCCTATAGTCTGTTTCAAAAAGATTTACAATCAGGTTTGGGTCTTAAAAAGTATGAAGATAAGGGAAATTTGGACAACAAAGTACATAGAATGGCTTGTTAGGACACGGCAAATTGTTCTGTGAAGGTTTCGGAACAATTGGACCAGCCGTTAAGGAGTTAGAATATCGGCCAGGTTTCCGGCCTTTTCCCATGGTTTACAATTTGCCGTGGATGTCAGTATCGATTTGTTTATCAAAACCCACGATTTATCCTTTCCTTTTTTGGCCTTGTGGTTATGAATGCTGTCTGCTGACCATGAAGTTGTGAGTTCAAATCCCAACCTATCCTCAAGTCAAACTTTTTTTTCATTGTTTTGGTGATCAAGCTGGCCAAAAAGACAAAGAAGATGGCTGCACCAAACGACTTGGTGTTGAAGCTCGCGCTTCCTGCCGAACTGACTGACACTTGACTGGCTCACGCCATGTGAACACACCCACAACACTGCAATGGTGTGAGTGAATATGGAAGTCATCGCGCTGTAGCTTTTTGAGATTTATTTTAGTTTCAAGATCGCCAATTTATTTGAATTAATTTATAATTAGCAGTCAACGCCGTCTTCTATCAGCGTTCACAAGCGTCTGCTTTTCTCAAAATGTCGTCGAAGTCACATGGATAGCTTTGCCACGTCATGGCCTTGGGAATGAGTCCGTGTCGATGTCGTTTTCGTCACACAGTGAGGAAATTGCATCGCAGCTCAAAGAAACTATTTTGGTCACAAAACGAATTGGGACACATGCCGCTCGTCAACATTTACAACACTTTCGTTTTGACATGTCCTCTCTGACTCCATTATCGATACGAGGAAGAACTCGTTTGTTGTAAACCAGACGTACATGACTGTATCAACGTGAGTGAGTTGTCATTTTTCCTGCTTTCGCGCGGAATATTTCTTCGAGTTCACAGTGAGTTTTTCCAGGCAGCGCTCGAGTGCTCATACGGTAAGACGCCAAACTCCGCGGGCGATCGCCAGGATTGCAAATCTTTTTGAAACGGACTGTAGTGCGTCTCCAATTGTAGTACATGTTGAGTGTGGATCAAAAATATAAAAGGACATGCCGGAATGATGTCATGGGCACTACTGTGGTACAGGTACCAGGGTCCACCTTACTTCGGCTTTCTTACCTGTTTATCATCTTTGTGTCTTTCTATACCGTTTCTTACCATGGTTGGATGTATTTACACTTTTACAGCCTTACAGTAACATTTTCACGAGTTGTTTGCCACCCAACCCAGGCGATCTATCTTCCCAGAAACAGTAAAAGTACACGTCTCCAATACTAGTATAGTCTCCTATAGTAGTACAGGTCTGACCACCATTGAAAAAATAAAAGTACTGTACCATTTATAGAAAATAAAAAGGACCAAAGAACTACAAGTGGACATTATAGCTTAACTTGTAGTTCCTTGGTCCTTTTTTATTTTCTATAAATTAATCCTCGGCTCTCCATCCGAGTACACACTGTACAATTATTGGAGATGATACGGTAACTGTTGCCATTTCGAAGTAGCGACTTTGGCGGTATTAGTGGTGAAGACGGTTGCTCCTACGTGGAACACACGCTTCCTGCCTAACTTGACTGACTCCCGACTGCCATCCGGAGCACACGAGGAGCGCATCGCACTTTTGACTTGGCAAACCTGCAGAACACTGTGTATTAAGCAGGGAGTATTGCCTATTGACAGGCTATTGTCCCTGTAATCATTTGTAAATTTATGGTGTAGTCTGCTTTTCTGGTTCTTCCCCCCTCCCCCCTGAACTCCAACGCAGCCACTTAAACATGCGTAAAACTTCATTCCTCAAACGCCAATAACCAGGGCCCAATAACCAGGACCCAATAACCAGGGCCCAATAACCAGGGCCCAATAACCAGGGCCGGCGCTACTGGTACGGCCGGTAAGGCCATGGCCGCACCAGATTTTGCAAACTCCAGCTTTCATGTAATGTCCAGTCTTGTATCAGTAATTATGTGAAAGCACCAGCAAGCTATCCTTGTGGGAGTCTCTTCCTCCTAAACTGTTGTTCCTGTCCAGTGAGGACTAGTGTGCTGGCTGTGTATGTGTTGCTAGCGGAACGATCTGAAACAGTCAGATGATGCCGCATGCATCCTCCCATGACCCTGAAATTAGGCATTGGGGAATGACCGGGGCTGTAACTGACCTGGGGCCGTGCCACCATTCATGAGCTGGCTCTGGGCCTGAATAACGGTCTCCTTACTGAAAATCAATGAATTTTCAGGCCTGGCCCATCGTGAGGATGAAAGTGTAGTTTACCTTTATTTACAAGAGGAGGGAGATGTCTTAGTGTTGTGCCTTTCGTAAAGAGCCCGACTATCATAGCCTGTCAGGAAGAATGCTAATTTGGACTGTATGTCTATTTCTATCTCTGACTCTCTGTCTGTCTGTCTATCTCTTTCTCTGTTTGTCTCTGTCTCTCTCCGTATCTCTCTCTCTCTCTCTCTCTCCATCTCTCTCTCTCTCTCTCTCTCTCTCTCTCTCTCTCTCTCTCTCTCTCTCTCTCTCTCTCTCTCTCTCTCTCTCTCTCTCTCCCTCCCTCTCTCCCTCTCTCTCCCCCTCTCTCTCACTCTGTCTCTGTCTCTCTCTATCTGTCTCTCTCTCTCTCTCTCTCTCTCTCTCTCTCTCTCTCTCTCTCTCTCTCTCTCTCTCTCTCTCTCTCTCTCTCTTCTCTCTCTCTCTCTCTCTCTCTCTCTCTCTCTCTCCCTCTCCCTCTCCCTCTCCCTCTCCCTCTCCGTCTGTCTCTGTCTCTCACTCTCACTCTCTCTCTCTCTCTCTCTCTCTCTCTCTCTCTCTCTCTCTCTCTCTCTCTCTCTCTCTCTCTCTCTCTCTCTCTCTCTCTCTCTCTCTCTCTCTTTATGTGTATTCCAGGCACTACTTCCAACCATTAGCCCCGACGATACCTGGCCTTGCCGAACATTTCCGTGGCAATGTAATGCACAGCCACAGCTACCGTCGGCCCGACACGTATCATGGACAAGTGGTGGTCGTGGCCGGAACGGGCTCCTCGGGCCAGGACATCTGTCTGGATGTTGCCAGCAAGGCGCAGCGCGTACTCGTGTCTGCGCACAGAGACCACTGGATCAAGTCACCACTGCCGTCCAATATTGAACAGCGGCGTCGTATCAAGTGTATTGACGAGCATGGTGGTGTGGTGTTTGATGATGGGCATGTGGACCGGGTCGACTCCATCCTCTGGTGCACAGGGTCAGTCGCTGTTTGTTGTTGTTGTTGTTGTTGTTGTTGTTGTTGTTGTTGTTGTTGTTGTTGTTGTTGTTGTTGTTGTTGTTGTTGTTGTTGTTGTTGTTGTTGTTGTTGTTGTTGTTGTTGTTGTTGTTGTTGCTATTGCAGTGTGTTTTGTTTCATTTGTTGTTATTGTATTGTGGCAGAAATCCAGCCTCGTCGATTTATACCATCCCGGTAGTTGTGTGCGTACCTTGAACAGCGACTCATAGTATCGCAGTGGACGTTGCTCGAGTTTATTCTTTAGCTTCGATTACGCTGCTGTATAACATGTCATTTTAGGTATATTCAATTTTTACTCTAATTTCAGAAATTTTCGGTGCTCAATATTTTCGGTATGAGGGCAAAAGGCCAGGTTAGGTGAACAGAAATTTTCGGTGCAGGGAAGCTGTTCCCTATTGGATTATGTGTGTTAGTGTTTGTTCGGTGTATTGAAATTTTAGGTATGAAGCAGATGCACCGAAAGTACCGAAAGTAAAAGTACACCGAAAAGTTGTGAAATTAAGGTAGTCCCAGGGGCGTGCCAGGCTTCAGGTGTAATGTAGAATTAGGTGATCCACCTATTCTTCACGTACAGTGCATACTCTAGCACCTTCAGGTGTAATCTAAATTGAGGTGCCTGGTTTCTCTACCGAAATCACCGAAATTAAAATTACACCGAAAACACACTACTTAGAAGAAACAATAAAAGGAAACAATAAGAGGACGGAAAAAAGTGTTTTAAAGGGGAAGCTAAGGCAAAAATTAAAATTCCACCAGTTGTAGTCTTCGGGGTGCTGAGTCGAATGGTCGTGGTCCGAGGAAGCTGAGACGCTCCCTTCCTACTTGAATCCCAATCGAACTCGCGCACTTCCACCGAAACTGGGTGACTGCGCCCTACTAGATGGGGATTTGTATGCAAAATGTCACTAAAAGCGCCATTTCGTTCTTATAAAAGCACGGATGACCGCGATTGGCCCATATGTTGTAGTCTTTTGGGCGCTCAGTCGACTGGTTTTGGTCCGAAAAGGCTGCGATGCAGCGTTCCTCCCTTATTCCCAATCGAACATGGTTGAAGACGCGGTCACGTGCTCCTGGGTGCCCAAATCACCTGGTCACCACGCCAGCAGGCGACAACTTTCACACCAAGGTTCAACTCGAGTTCAACTCGAGTGACAGGGCTGCACCCAAAAAAGGTCAAACAGTTGTAAGTTGTACCCTGCAGGCACGGTGACCAGGTGACTGGTGTACGCAGGAGCACGTGACCACGTGTTCAACCATGTTCGATTGGGAATAAAGGAGGAACGCTGCATCGCAGCCTTTTCGGACCAAAACTAATCGACTCAGCGTCCAAAAGACTACAACATATGGGCCAATCGCGGTCATCTATGCTTTTATAAGAACGAAATGGCGCTTTTAGTGACATTTTGCATACATGTACAAATCCCCATCTAGTAGGGCGCAGTCACCCAGTTTCGGTGGAAGTGCGCGAGTTCGATTGGGATTCAAGTAGGAAGGGAGCGTCTCAGCTTCCTCTGACCACGACCATTCGACTCAGCACCCCGAAGACTACAACTGGTGAAATTTTAATTTTTTAAGTCTGAGTTTCACCCACTATGCGATCATCAGAAAACACACTACTTACCAATTTCCACCACCGTTTTAGGAGCTACGTGCTGCGCCTCGATCCATAGAGAATGGTGGTGTTCCTACGGATGCGGAAAAACTCGGCTTCCAGCCGAGTCTTACGCGAACCGTGAATTTGGTTGGATTACGCAAGAAAAATGAAACAAATTTGAGCAATAACCAGGTGATTAATAAAAGCTCGAAAAAGTCTGGCTGCCCTCTACCAGTGTAGAGGCCGGAAACAAGTGTACGCATGCACACACGCACACGTGCTCACACTCACACATACACACACACACACACACACACACACACACACACACACACACAGAGCACGAAGAATGGGGGGGGGGGGGGGGGTGGACACACATATGTACAGATGTTTACTGTTGTCAGGTGACTCGTGACACAAACCTGTGATCTGAGGCGGAGGTACATGCCGTACCTTGGATATGCTTCTGACCAGCTCTTTGGCCAAGCTGTTGTGGGCTGGCCAGCGTATCAAGAGGCTCCGAGTTCAAGAATTGCACTGGCAGCAGGAAGCATGTACTGTGCTAACAAATGCAGTGGTGCATGCGTGAACCACTTTACAAGCAATGAACTGCACCGACACCAACTGTCAACTGGGAACTACTCATTACTGTACAAGCAGAAAATTTAGTCGGTGAGTATCTTCGCCGAACTCCAAAGAAGGACAGTTGACCTGGTGGAAATTTTCGTCCATGGATGTTGCAAGTTTAAGAAATGTATTCAAAGGCTAGATGAATCGATATTAGTCTTGCATTAAATTTAGTTTTCAATTTCTTTGGACGCGATAATGATTAAATTAAATTCGCAATGAATATTTCTGCTTGTACAGCACTCGTGGTGAGGGTAGCATGGGTGCAGCTAACGAGATTAAGACACCTGCTGGACGTCAGTTGTGAGGCTTTTAAACATCTCATCCCTTCGCCGTTAGTCGCTGCTGCACTTGCTGCCTTCGTACTTCGAAGTACAACCAGACATGCCAGGTGGCCTGGCATGGGTGAAACTTCCTGAGCTAGTTGTATTTCTCAACTTAGCACCATATCCCTCACACACTCATACTCAGCCCAAGGCAACAAGGAATTGTTTTGGAGATGGTGTGCTGCTTCGAGTAACTGGTCTTGTAATGCAAAAGCTCAAAGAGCTAGAAAGCAATTTCAGACCACTGGCAGCAACTGGCTCGCGAGGAGCTGCAATAAACCCACATTGTGCCACAATGGGGTTGCAAGGCAAAGCCAATGCAATTGGCCACAACTGGCTCGTGAAGAGCCGCAACTGGATATTTTCCGACTGTTGATCGTGCTGGCCAATAGCAATCGGAGGTCGGTGAGCTTGTCCATGGGGAGCCTGGCCTCAAGCCGCTTGCAATCCAGAATAATGCCGAGGAACGTCAGTGATCTCGCGGGACCTTCCACCTTTGCTGGCGCTAGTGGCATGCCCAAATAGATGAAGGCCCGCAGCAGGATTGCTAGTTGACGCTGGGCGACAGTATGGCCAGTTGTGACGTTTAGAAAGTCGTCCAAGTAGTGGAATAGGTCAGCAATGGAGAAATGGTTCCGGATAATCCACTCTATGGCCGAGGCAATGGAATCGAAAATGGCTGGGCTGGAGCGAAGCCCAAATGGTAGCACCCGCTCATAATAGTAGCTGCCTTGCCAGAATTAGCCGAGTAGCGAGTGGTCTTCGGCACGAACTGGGATTAGCCGGAATGCACTTTTGATGTCCAGCTTTGCGAGGTACACCGGCTGAGGTGAGAACACAATAGACTCGATTGCATCGTCAATACTGATGTAGTGCAGGGAAAACTGGTCAGCTGGAACTCCGTCGTTCACACTATTACCGGCGGGACTAGAGAGATGGTGAATCATACGAAGCTTGCCGTTCTTCTTCGGCACTGCGCCGACACCAGAACAGCGCATGAAGTTGAACGGGGCTGCAGTAAAGGACCAGCAGTTTCGCCACGTTGGCAAGAAGCATACAGCTGGTCAGTAATAAAGGTTTTAAAAAATACTGCCTGTTGGCCGCCAAGATCATGCACTGGTATGACAGCAGCTCTGCTGTGCGGTGGGGTGCATTGCTGATCACAACATGCATATACAGAGACCATGCTCTTCTAACCAAGTGGCGATATCGTGCACACGTCTACGAACCGGGCGAGTGGTGTTCACCTCTACGACTTCCAGTGCACCCCAGGATGAACTCGATCTAAGCTCGAACGACTTATTGCTATCAACTGTCCCCAAGATCTCAGGCAACAATTGGTCGAAGTCCACAAACTCACCTCGCAATATCCTATCCTGCACCGACTTTGGGACGTGCAGACTTTCAGCGTGAGGCGGTGTGGAGCACGCAGCACTCACGCCAATGTCGGCTGACGCAGCTGGTGGCGCTGGTGCCATACTTGGCTGCGACAGAAGAGAGGCTCCAACCTCGTCTGTGATGGCAGAACGAACTTCAGCCCGAGTAAGTTCGCGAATACCAGTCGGATCCAAGGTGACCGGGGGCTCGGCGAGCACCTCGCACGTATCCACAGTGGGTGCGGCAGAGTCGTTTGCTGAAGGGTGAGGAGTTGGACCCAGGTTTTCTCGCTCCGTGTCGTCCAGCAATCTCTGAACCAGAATGGATTTCTTTCCGGTGGTCAGCAGACCTCGATCGTCCAGCTCGGCTCGCAGTTCTGCCACCCGCATCCGATACACAATAGACGACATTATTTCAGGCACCAACAGTACGAGCTGAACACAATCGAAGCGCCTGGCTAATTAGTTAATCGAAGCTACCACAAGCTAGAAGCCGAACTGAGAGAGCTGAGAAAGCTGAACATGTGATGCTGGCACAAGCTAAAAGTCACCACTAATAACTCTTGGCTGCTGCTGTGGCACTTTTGCTGCAATCTCTACGGCTGCACTAGCCGTATTAACTGTCGTACCCATATGCGCACATTCAATCCCTGGCTACGCTTTGGAACTGTTTTCGTTGCCTATGTCCTCATCTCTCTTCGCTTTGTTTTCGCTGCCTGGGCTTTCATTTATCTTTGCTTGCTTGCTTGTATTGCTGGGGGAACATATGCTGGTTTGTATTCGTGGGTCCCCATGGTGCATGGGCCACGCGTACTCATCCGGCAAATATGTGGGAATAATAATAATAATTTGAAACTCGGATGTTGAGCCATAAATAAATGTAGAAAGGAAAAAGACATTATGGATACGAGTTAAGAGTAACTCTCCATCACTGTAACATGATACTTTATACAGTCAGAAAGTGCAATAACTAGGCACAAAACTGACAGAGTACTGAGACATTCGACGTCCTGACACCGAGCTTCAACACATCTCCGTAGCGCTAACCGACAGCCTTCCAACTTGGAAGGTTCAAGGTTATGGAAAAGACCAAAGAGGGGAAGGCAAGCGCAACGAAAACGAGCAAAAGCTACAGTCGAAACGGAACAAAGAATGTCGATTGTTACTGGACGATGACGAGAGCAGTACGATACTTGACAAAGGAGATGTGTTGAAGCTCGGTGTCAGGACGTCGAATGTCTCAGTACTCTGTCAGTTTTGTGCCTAGTTATTGCACTTTCTGACTGTATAAAGTATCATGTTACAGTGATGGAGAGTTACTCTTAACTCGTATCCATAATGTCTTTTTCCTTTCTACAATAATAATAATTATTATTATTATTTTTAGACTTTGAAGTGAAGCCAACGGCAAGAAAGAAAGAGAAAGTTCAAAGGAAGCAGTTATGCGACGTCAGGCTAAGCGAGCTTTGTTGTATTTCTCAACACTGTTGTATAGCTGGCGGTAATGTGGACATGCATACATTACTGCACTTACTAGACAGGCTGTGTGCTCGTGGCCAGGAGTCCTTCCAAAGTTTCTGTAACATAGTAACGAATGTTATGGCTGATTTCTACAGTACGCATTTGTTATAACCCTTCCTCTTCTCAATCTATATGTTATAATCTTGCAGATATGTTCCCAGTAAGCCATGAACGGAGGCCCCCTCGACTTAGGCCTCGGCCTTTGGGGAATCCATAAATAAATAAAGTCCTTGAGCTTTGGCTAGGCTATATCTAGGCTATATCTAAATACCAGAATGGCGATTGGCCAATTTGATAGATGTTTACTTGGACTGCGCAGAGCAGTTGTCACTGTTTGTGTGTGCTGTGTGTATATCTGTTTGTCTGTTTATATCTGTGTGTTTGTGTGTTTTCGTGTGTGTGTGTGTGTGTGTGTATGTGTCAATCTATGTGTATCCATGTGTGTGTCTGTGTGTGCGTGCACGTGTGTGTGCATGTTTCGTGCTAGATAGATATGCCTGCTCGTTCCCGTTCCTGCATGACAGTTGTGGCGTGTCGGTGGAGCTGGACAGAGTAGTTAAGCCGCTGTATCGTCATCTTGTCAACGCTGCTCACCCGACAATGTTCTTCATCGCGATACCATTCCTAATTGCACCTTTCCCTCTTATGGCAATGCAGGTAAATGTCATTTGTTTGCTTGGAGTGTTGATCAAGCTCCCTACCTTTAATGTTTTTGAGACCTGTATTCGGCGCAGCGCTGCAAGACCCACCCTTTCCTGGCCTGTATACCGGCATGGTCAGTACCCAATCTTCATGTTGCCTGGTGATTGTGAAAGCATGAAACGTTGAGTAGCAGCAAACAAGCCTTGATTGTCCTTGTTGTTCTGTGAGACCTGTATACTGCAACCAAGAGTACATAACCCCCCAGAGTGTGCAACGCCTGATCCAGCTCTGCATAGGGTCTTGGTCGAGCGGAATCGGATCTTTGCGTCATAATACCGTACACATCTGAGGGGAACCCGGGGAGTCGCGGGTACTCTTGGATCAAAAACAATGGTGCCCTGCCTCGAGACCGGCCTTGCGCTGGTGTGAAGTGTACGCATGACATCAGAAGATCCGATTCCGCTCGACCAAGACCCTACACAGAGCTGGATCGGCGTTGCACACTCTGGGGGGTTATGTACTCTTGCTGCAACCAGTAGACCAGCGTGATTAGCGACAACCTGTCACTACTGGTCCGTGACTTCGCCAGGAATGGATGCTCTTGCATTCAAACTACCGTAAAGTCGCGGATAAAAGCCGGGCTTGCATACAAGCACACCGCGGATAGAAGCCTGAAAATCAAACGGGTCAAATGCATATAAGCCTGTCGCGCGTAGAAGCCTGGCTTCTATGCAAGCACGGATCGGCCGATGTGCATACAAGCTTGGCAAAAATATCAGTGGTGCATATAAGGATGGTTTGCATACAAGCCTGGTTTGCATTGAAGCCTAATGCGGAAAGCGGCTTATGTGCTTATAAGCCCGGCTTTTATCCGCGACTTTACGGTATGTAGCAACTAGCGACCACTGTATAGCATGTACAGTCAACTTCGCTAATAACAACTGCGGATATAACGACAATTCGCGAATAACAACAGAATTTCCATGCCCAGAGCAAAGTCCAAATTAACTGTACTACATATAGTGAGACTTCGGGTACTAGTACAAGGACACTTCGCGAATAACGACACTTTTCTGATGCCCCGCCGAGTGTCGTGATACGCAAAGTTGACTGTAGTTTTTTTTTGGTGTAACTTAAATCAGCTCGATAACTCCTATAGAGAAGCCAGGCGCCTAAGTTTAGATTACACCTAACTAGCACTGGAGTATGCACTGACTCTTCAGCACTGCCTGTGCCTACCGGTGCTACTGACGACGGAAACACCGAACCAGAACGGGAGGGGGGGGGGGGGGGGAGGGGGTCTCCTCTTACTGACAGGGGAGTTGGCCTTTATCAATGCTGGTTTGGGAGCTTGCACATCATTGTGAACCTGATGAAGGCAATTTGCCGAAACGTTGGAATAATTATTGCGAAATGAGTTTGACTTTTGCAGTGTTAATGGAAGAGAACGTGTGGGCTCTACTCTTAACTGTGGTGGGGTCTTGATACTATAAATGCACTATCGTGCTATTTGAACAGGACAGATTGCAGAAGTTGTGTACGATAACTCAGAAGTTGCGACGGATTCGGCCATTTAAAAATAATTGATTTGATGAATGTGGGCCAAGAGCGCAGTGCGGGGGAGGTGGATAGTTTCAAATTAGTTGTGATTCCCGTGTAACGGTAATGTAACGATGTCTGATAATCCGAACCTCCAACCGGACATATCCGCGTAATTAAACGTCCCACGAAATCCACCAATAGGGCCCATCTGGCGTTATCAATTATTTAGAAGTTTTCCTCGGCAATTTGAGGTTTGAATTATTAGGATACCACCTGTATTGTACATGTGTATGGATGTGTGTGTGTGTGTGTGTGTGCGTGCGTGCGTGCGTGCGTGCGTGTGTGCATGTGTGTGCGTGTGTGTACGCGCGCGCGCGCGCGTGTGTGTGTGTGTGTGTGTGTGTGTGTGTGTGTGTGTGTGTGTGTGTGTGTGTGTGCTACCGTCTGTTCTCTCTTGAACAGGCACTGTTCGCCAAGGCCGTTCTGGAGCGCCGTCACACGCTGCCCTCGTTCGTCGACATGGCCCGTTGGCAAGACGACGACCTAACCAAGCGCAGTGCCCGTGGCTTGCCACCGCACTACGCCCATGCACTGTCTGGTGATCAGTGGGACTATGATAATGAACTAGCACGTTTAGCTGGCTCAGAGCCACTGCCTCCGCATTACAAAGCTCTGTATGAATACACGAAAGGTACCCGGGCTGTGCGCTTGACCATGTACCGGAACGTTCGTTATCAACTGCGAGATGATGATGCGCTGTTTGACGCCGTGGATGTCGGCGGCTGCGGTGAGGGTCAAACACAGGGCCGGACGTGATGCAATAGTGGTGCGTGTGTGCGTGCACGCTTGTGTGTGTGTGTGTGAAAAAGCCACTTCATAGCTGTGTGGTGTAGACCAGGCTGAATAGTGCCGGTCAATTCTTCAGCCTTGCAAGCTGTTGAATGGTGCAATCCCAGCACAAGCTGCTATGGCTTCTGCTGTAGCATCGCTATCATCGCCTCCGGCGATGGGCGTCAAATGCGTGCGGATGTGTCTGGTTCGACCTGCGTAGGAATTGTTTCGGTGGACTGTCCATGGGCTGTAGAAATACTTAGTACTCAGCATGCTGTGCTGTATCCCTCTGATGGTAGAATTTGAGGCATTTCTCTAGACTGATGGGCTGGTCCTATATTTACTTCTCTTGGTTTAAACACCGACCTGGCTTTCATTAGCCTTTTTTAAAACATAGTTTAAAGTTGCAACCACTTCTAGGGATGTGCAAATTCCATGGCAGCCATACCTGCTTTAGAGATTACTGCAATTCAAATGCTCATATCGTTACAAGGTCTCTCTGCTGCAAATGTCATGTCAGGTTCACCTGCTTTTTGGTCGTGCATGGCCCATCGTAACTTATTTTTTAACTTTTTGAAATATTCTTCAATTTTCATTTATTATTTTGTCAAGCTCGCAGTTTGCTACGATGAATCATGGAGTTGTTGTGACGTGGCAATTTTCTTGTGTTTTTTTGTGTGTGTCAACGGGGCATTCCGAGACTGGGAGTGCTTCTTTGTCCATCCTGCTTGTACTTCGAAGTAGCTTTAGGTTTTTATTCTCTTAAATTAGTTTTAGGTATTTCTCTTCTTACTTGTAGTCATAATTATTGCTAGCTATGCTCTTTTCCTTTGTATTTAATAGCTGGTGTAGTGATATATTTTTTACGTAGTTTGCTGATGTTTTTGCTTTCAAATTTATTTGGCATGCGGTCATAGCAGATAGCTATCCGATGGAGATTGAGCATTTGACAGGCTTTTTTTTAATAAGTGTTTTTTCCCGATCCCGGTGACATACAAGTCAGGGATCATCTTTCTGCTTCCGTTGCACGCCACCACTCCATGACGATCAAGCATGATCTTTGAATGTCCATGTAATAATTATTTATTTTTCCTGAATTCTTTGTCAGTGTTGTATTGTATTTTATTGTGTCTTTTGTCCGTAAAAAAAGGCTTCACTAACACCTGAGGAATGGCAATAGAGGTTTTGCGAATCACACCATTGTACATGACTTACATTGTATATTGTGCATGCATGACCTTTTAACATGGCACCACACGACGGATGTGCGAGGCTATGCGTATGCCTCTGCCATGCGCCACTTGATGAAAACTTCCCTACAAACCTAACCATCCGGATATCCGCAAAGCAAGTGGGAGGGTTAATTAAAAAAACTTTTTTGTTTGTTTGTTTGTTTTTGCATCGAAGAGAGACCACTTGGTTTGAAGATGGTGTGTGCCGATCCAGTCTGTGACCCGTGTGGACCTACAACTGTACTGTACTCGTACAAGTACAAGGAAGGTTCATCAAGGTTTTCACGGAAGTGACAACAAGTGGGCCCCATCGGGCGCGGACGATGGCATGTATGGCAGATCACCCCTCCACTCACACTGCCACACAAGTCTCAGTGACTGGATGGAGTTAGCAGGTTGTGAACTCTGCTCCCTCGTGATCCCGTCGCAGTGCCTAGCGCCTGCAACTGACTGTATGGTACTTGGTAGCTTGTGAATGAATGAGCTTTTGACTGTACCAGTGTGTACTCGATCGAGGGCAGTGCCACATCAGGCACATGCGATGCGTGCTGTCGACGTCTTTTCAGAGTTTACAAACGTGTTTCATCGCGACTGCGACCAGCTACATAATTGCTATGCGCCCGTTATTGTATGCGGGAGCGAATTTCCGACTATGCCTATGCCTAGTATAGTGACGATAGTAAAGGTTCGGTGGGCTAGTGATAGGATCTTTAGCTCCTGACTAGGAGGGTCAAGAAAAGACTCTGAAGGTGACACCTTGTGAGCATTTCAATCCAACCTAGAAAGCAGCAAGCTTCTGCAGTCGTTTCAATCAGTTCTGTTGCGTGACAAAAATACAAACAGTCGTATCGTCGATCATGTCTCGAATTCGCGTTGCTGTTGTGGGTGCGGGCGCAGGCGGACTGTGTGCGGCTAAGCACTTCCTGGCAGCTGCCTCACGCTACGACGTGTCCGTCTTCGAGCAGACCAGTGAGGTAAGGCGGGAAAGGATTCCTCTGTTTCATCTCAGTTCCACTTCATTTTCTCAATATTCATCTACACTACAGTCAAAAAGATGGACTTCTAGCATTTGGCCATACAGTCGTCCCTCTTTAATCCAGCACTTTATAAACCAGCACCCTCTATAAACCAGCACCCTCTATAAACCAGCACAATTTTCAGTTACCAAAATGTCCTTTTCGTGCACATTGCAGCAGTAGATCAGATTTGTTAAATATCCAGCACCCTCCCTAATCCAGCACAGGGGCGTAGGAGGGGTTTTGGAAGTGGTACGACCGAAGGTCGACGCGGCCGAAGGCCGTCACGGTTGGAGGGGGGTCCGGGGGACCTCCCGCCGGAAAATTTTCTGTCCCTTTGGACAAACGCGGCCAAGAATCCAAAATTCCGCGGCAAATTCCGCGGGGAAAAGAGGGGTTTTCTGCGGCATTTTCTGCAGTAAATCAACAATCTGCGGCACTTTCTGCAAGTTTTTCACCCTCCTCGTAGACATGGTTGAGGATATAACAACTAGTTGCATCAAGAGTATATGGGGGGTTATAATTATACTCTTGGTTGCATGAAGGAGCACTTTTCACACTATCCTTTGCAGTCACAAACTGAATGAGAGTGAAGAATCTTGGAGAGGCCTGCACTCACCAAAGAGCGATGTGCTCAAACAGATCGCAAAGTAGTTTTTCTGCTGCTTTCTGAGTAGTAATTTTACTATTTTAGTATTTTACCCTAAAAAATTCAGATTCCGCGGGCAAAAGTGTGAACTCCGTGATTTCCGCGGATGATGGCAATTTCTGCGAAATTTGCCGCGGCCGCGGAATCGCGTTTTTCCAAGGGGGCAGAATTTTGTAAAAAAGACACAAAATCCTGCGTTCTGGGACTGTGGATGTGTGCAGCCGAGTACAGTACTCAGTATGACTGCAGATGCATGGCAGATCTATGAGTACGAGTCTAGAAAAAGAACAAAGTCTGATGCGCATATGCATCGATGGATCCTGATTTTTTTTTATTACGGCTTTGCACGTTCCGGACGGACCACATTTTTCGAAAAGTGGTACGGCCATGGTCGTACTAGTCGAAGCGGGTGCTACGCCCCTGCAGCAGAATTTCCTTGGCACAAATGGTGCCGGATTATAAAGGGACCACTAGACATCCTTAGCAAAAGTACGATAACGCTAACTTTTACGGTACTCACTCCCAGCCGTGACAAAAGACGTTGTCGGATAACGGAAAAACGTTACAGAGCTCAAAATAACGGGCCGACGTTCGTTATGGTAATTCTGCAAGAAATGCAAAAACCCGCATTGTTTTGTAACTGGCGGGAGATAAAAAGCACGTGCAGATCGAGATGAGAGTCGAGATTGCTTCCTCTTGTGACATTTAGCTTTTTTGGCGAGTTTTGCCTTTCAGTTGACAATGTCTGCGTCCTCTGCTTCGTGCCTTTCACCCTCTATCCCATCTGGGAAACAAAGAACCAGTTCCACGGCACTCCTGAGGAAGAAATTCATCGGCCTCTCCCAGACGTGCTGGAGCTGGAGAACCCTTACAGTCTTCGGTGCTGCGTTTAGGAAAGGGTTTCCAAGGACCTGGGAACAGCGAAAACTCATTTTCGCCGTGCTTTTGCTATTCCAGAGTGAAAGACCTCGCCAAGGTATTCTTTCGGAACGACAGCAAACTAATCCCTGGTTCAAAATTTTGAATTTCCCGCACCTGTTTCCACGAAAATTCATATCGCCATGGTTGTCACGACTACTTCGGCTGAATTGTAACATACATTGTGCTAAGGGAAAAGTCAGCTTGAACGATCCGAAGTACGGAAAGGTTTGCGTTTACGTTAGCGTTTTTTTTGTGCTAAGGATATCTACTGTACTTGAATGGGTCAAACTTTGAGTTTCTCTAGAATTTTTTTCAGCAATCCCCAATGGAATCCTCTTCCATTTATGTTTCTGAAGTCTATTTGTCCAAAACGCAAGCCCTATAGTCCTTTTGCACATTGTACAGATGTACGAAGTTCTGTACTATGGCCGTAGGTGTGTACATACCCGGTTGGGTGTTCATTGTGTGCTATACATGCGCGTTTGACCCATTTAGCCTCACAATTCATGGCAAACGATCACTTTTCAAGCCTTCTTCACTTTGGGATTGAACTAACGACTAGCTAGATCTCTGCCGGAAAAAGATTTCGTATGAAATGCCTTCATGGCCCATTTCATAGTGGAAATAGCAGTAAACACAATAGGGTCCTGCACATTCAACACCCAACCGGGTCTACGGGATTCTACAAGATTATACGGGATTTCGTGCATCTGTACAATGTGCATAAGGCCTATTCAAGAATAGGATTTCGGCCAGGTTTTGCCCCAAAAGCACGGAATCGGGAAAAACCATCAAAGTCCAGGTCGTTTGACCTTGCCTGCAAAAGTGCCTTATGCGTTTCGAACCCCAGTTCAGGGACCTTTTTCAAATTTCAAATTTCGCAGCACTGCACTGTGTACGATAAAATCATGAAAATCGCCAAATACGGGAGCTCGCCAGAGCCAGGGCCCATCTATTTTGTCGTCGTTGTCATCGCATCGACAAGAGTTTTTTTTGTCTTTCATAAGTTTTATTATGGCTATTGATGTAGCTCTGAGCTACTGATTAGAGCAGGAAAAAACTGGTCTCTACTCTAAGAAGAGACATGAAGAAGACTAGAGAAAAGGTGCTTGTAGAGCAACAAAATACACTCAAACGTCTCTTATCCGGACGCCTCAGATACGGGCACGTCTCTCTACCGGCCACCTTCAGCTTGAGTTCCTATGGCAAAAATGCTTCGAATTTGGAGGTTTGAACTTTTCTTCCGAATGCGCAAGTGCTTATTTGTCACTGCCAATCTGTGTTATCCACACATTTTTATCCATGGATTGTTTTTGTAACCTGAACATGTGCAATGCCGGTATGTGCCTAATAAACTTCTTTAACCCTTTTACGGTCTCACATTTGAAAATCGATCACCGGTGATCGATTTTTTCAAACTATCGTAACTCAGTCAATGTTTGAGCAAATTCGAACATCTAAATATCTAGGTTGAAGAGAAAGCTCCAGGCTATCCGTAGGAACAATCGCCGAAGCGATAGAGTGAACGGCTGCGATGCTACGAAGCTCGCGATCTGCGTCACGGCTCATTTGCGATTTGAGTGGGCGAGCTGGGTCTTGAGGACGGGTTTTTCCCTTTGCAGCTAGCTGTCACCATAGAGACACGGATTCAAATGAGAGTATGGACTCGCAGCACTCCTCACAAAAAATGTGAGCTCGATGTGAGCAAGGAGAGGGAAATGGCTGTTGAATCTTGTTTCTCGTCGTGAATCAAGCACTGGGGCGATGTCGCTGCGCTGCAGCGCTGGATCCACGGCACGCTTGGTGTCGAATTGTAGCTTGGCGTGTTGCTCGTGTCCAGAGCTTTCCAGAGAGCCCAAGATCATGAAAATCAGCGAAGGGAAACTGAAGTTATGGATGAATCAAGGTACGAAATTGTTGAATTCTGTAAATAGCCTCATTTTGACTGGATTCTGAGACCGTGAAAGGGTTAAAAATGATATGATACATGGTATATGAGTTATCCCGAGATGCGGGCAAATCTGAGATACGGGCAGTGGCCGGTCCCAAGGTGCCCGAATAAGAGACGTCCGAGTGTATAAACTATAAAGTCGGCGAGTTCTTGCTGGGAACGGAGCTACATTCGGATCACTGGATCCATACTAGGCTCACGCGATTCCTCGGTCAGCGCGAAGGCAGAAATAGACATGTGTGTACAGCCAGAAACGGACGTGCGTACACATAGGAGAACAAGGGAAGCGCACCGCGAGCTGTAGCAGCCAGAAACGGATACATGCGCAAAAAGGGAGCACACCGCAATATACACGGCAGCCACAAACGGATACATGCACAGAAAGGGGAGCACACTGCGTCAAGCACGGCAGCCAGAAACGGCTGGGTGCATACAAAAGGGAGTCGCTTGGTGCCAAAGAGGGAGAACATAAATCATCACGACTGATGTTCGTGACATATTTTATGAATGGACAGTAGGCTTCCATACTTTCTCTTTTCATCTTTTTGAATCTTCCCTCGGAAACTCCTTCGATCACTGCTGCGTCTCGGTGCAGCGCCTGCTCATTATTTGTCACGTTTGTCCTAGTCTCCGTACCGTTATTAATTATTCTCTTTGAGCTGGGTATGTGATACAATGCTTCAAGTACAACTTCAAGATAGCGGCCCACCTGTCACTATAATTATAGCTTGTACTTCAGAAGTAGGAATAGTTTAGGAAATACCGGTATGTTTCTGTTACCAAGAGCACTATTCGCCAAAAATTGCGGCCAATGTTGCACATGATAGTCGACTGCGATGTGCAGCATTGGCCGAATTGTTTTGGCAAATATGGTGCATATTCTCACAAGAGTGTGCAACTCTGGAAACCTTTTCTATTGGTCCGCCGACTGCGAAAACTCACCTCACCATGTGGTGTATTGTTCCCGGTGTACGTACCCTGCCCGTTTTAGTGATCATGCTAGCTTTCGTTGAACACACCTGATTCTGTTCATTTTCGTGTGCATTCCTGCAGGTTGGTGGAACATGGGTATATCGTGAAGAGAACGGCGCTTCGGCAAACGGGAAGTTTGTCCACAGCAGCATGTATGCCAACCTCAGGTATGTGCGCGTTCTCGGTTAAACCACACACAGACACTTGTTTGTGAATCGCCCATCCGCGTTGGCATCGAGAGAGGATCACTACAGGCGTTACCAAAATAAACAACAGCAATGGCAACAGTGCCGCCCTGTCGCTAGCTTTTGCTCAGGCCGCTCAAGTGAAAGGAAATAGTGAACTGAGCCGCTAAGCAGAAAACAGCCAGTAAAAAATATTCGGAAAAAAAGAGAACAACCCCAGTTACTGTAAGTCAACAAAATTAATATTCATTTTCGGCGCATATTTTATTTTTGGCTATTTTCGGCCTGATCATGTTTGGCCGAAAATTTGTTGCAGCCTAAATTTTGTTTTGCAAGGTTCAGTGTGACAGTGTATACAGGCAGCAGCCGTACAGGCCGAAAATTCCTTGCAGCCGAAATGTGTTTTAGCCCTGGGAGGCCGAAATTTGAATGGGCCGAAAATTTGTCGACAGAAGTGAATATATGTAGTGAGTTCAGAAACTATAATGATTTATCCGGCGTCTCGAATCCGTCTGCCCATTTTACACCACTGCTTGCGATCGCCGCCCAGCATTCTGAGGTGCTCTCTCTCTCTCTCTCTCTCTCTCTCTCTCTCTCTCTCTCTCCATCTCTCTCTCTCCCTCTCCCTCCCTCTCTCCCTTCCTCCTGTGACTTATTAAATTTTGTCTATCTTCTTCTTCTACCATATCCTCCACACCACTGTGTTTCCAGAACAAACTTAGCCAAGGAGATCATGGCCTACCCGGACTACCAGTTCCCGTCTCACTTACCATCGTTTGTCAGTCATAGAGATGTTCACAAGTACTTGCAGGACTACAGCCGGCACTTCAACATCCATCAGCGTATCAACTTCGACACTACCGTCGTCGACGTGGCACCTGTTGCCGATGCAGAACATGCCGCCGCTGCCTGTGATGCCGACGTAGCAGGGAAGAGAGCCGATGGCAGTGCGTTGGAGTGGCTCGGACCTCGCTGGCAGGTCACGCATCGATCCGCTGTGGATGAGCGGGCACCTGCCAAGACAGAGTTGTTCGATTCCGTCATGATCTGCAATGGGTATGTGTGCAGCTTTCATTATTTATTTTGTAAAAGCAAATTGGAAGCTCTCCGTTTCTTGCAGTTGTACAGTCAGACCTCGCTTATCCGGTCCTCTTTTATCCGGATCCCTTGCCATCCGGAAGAAAATTGTTGGTTACCGATTTGCAGCATATGCCGTGCATACATACAGAATGTGTGTTCGATTATCCGGTTCCCCCGCCTATCCGGATATTTTTCGTGGAAAACGGATGTGTGCGGTTAAGCGAGGTCTGACTGTGCACTAGTCCATGCATCTATACGCTGCCGTCCACATAAGTCTAGAATGTAGAGACTAGTCCAGTCAGTTTGGTTCAGAACGTCTTCAATTTGTCCTTCTAGACAAGTGTGGAGAGCGTATAGATACATGGCTAGTGTGCTACTGCAAGCTTTCATGTTGTCAGACATTGATCGTTTCGTCGGGGCGTGTTTTTTTATGCCGCATGTTCATATTTACCCTGATAATGGGCCAAGGCCGGAAATTCGGTAGACCATAGATTCATTTGATTCTCAGTAAAGACACTGTTATTGGAGTATTGGACTGAAGTTTCATACATGTGTGCAGGGGCGTCGGAAAGGTAAATTAGTGTGGTACGGTCAGCCATCTGAAGGAGAATTTACTCGTGGTGGGAGGGGTGGCTGAGCCGAAAATGTTGGAAATTTAGAGCCCAAATCAGTGCATTTTATTGATTCACGGGGTGCTTGTGGGGTACTTGGGGTAAATAGTGGTACGGTCAATACCGTAGTGACTGTACCGTGTGCGACACCCCTGGTGTGTAAGTGGCTGCGTTGCAGTTTGCGGACAATAAGGACATTTTTATTGTCAGCGAAAATATCCGCACAGCCTGGAGAACGCTTTGGACAAAAATCTAGCTAGTCGTTAGTTCTATCCAAAGTGATGAAGCTGGAAAAGTGAATGTCTCCCATCGAGTACTGGGCTAAATCATGAGATGAGGCCTGTGTTGTATAATGATGTTGTTTTCCCTGTGTGATGACATTTCCCAAACAGTCTTCGTCTATAGTTGTAGTCGCGTGCATGTGTGATATGAGCATGCGCGATGTTGTAGTCGAGAGTCCTTTTGTCAGTCTTCTTGTTCGTCACAAGGGAGTCAGTTGTCCTTGTTTTCCCGTCATGTGTACTTTCAATAATATAATGTAAAACAAACTAGTATTGTCCTTTGTGTCCTGAGTCGCGGGGAACGGAATGGCTGTGATTCCGTAACAACTGCATACATGTCACTCAATACGGATAGAGAGTTGCGCACTCAGTACAGAATAGGTCCACAAGCAATGGCCACATGTATTGTTCGTCGAACGTTTTCGTCACCATTGCATAGGGTTGACAACTTGACAGGCGAAGAAGACGACTTCTGATCGTCTGATTGTTGTGTCAGTTCGTCTTCTTGTTCCACTGAATTTATCTTCTGCCTTGCAGGCATTACTTCCAGCCGCTGTGCCCGTCGATACCTGGTATGGAGCACTTTCGCGGGGCTCACTTTCACAGCCACGACTATCGCCGGCCGGAGGCATTCAGTGATCAAGTCGTGGTTGTCGCAGGCTGCGGGGCATCGGGCCAGGACATCTGTCTCGACCTGGCCAGCACAGCCAAGCATGTCATGTTATCTGCAAGTCCCGATAAGTGGATCTCAGCGTGGTTGCCCAGTAATATAGAGCGGCGACCGCGAATAGAGCGTGTCAATGCGGACGGCAACGTGGTGTTTGCGGATGGTGACGTGCGCCAAGTCGACTCTATCCTTTGGTGCACCGGGTGAGCTGATGCGGTCAGTCAGTGGTCGTGTGTGTGTGTGTGTGTGTGTGTGTGTGTCAGTGTGTGTGTGTGTGTGTGTGTGTGTGTTTGTGTGTGTGTGTGTGTGTGTGTGTGTGTGTGTGTTTGCATGCGTGTGTGTGTGTATCTCATGTCTGAAATGTCCGCGCGTATGTCTCCTTGTCGTCTCCAGCTATGGCTACTCGTTTCCGTTCTTAAACCGTCGCTGTGGCATGGCTGTGCACGACCAGCGCTACATACAGCCAATGTATAAGCACATTGTGAACGCTATGTACCCTAGCATGATGTTCATCGGCATGCCATACACCATACTGCCCAATCAAGTCATGGATATCCAGGTAGGAGCACACAAACTAAATTAAACTGGGGCTGCCCTGTCTGGGATTGCTGTCCTGCCTGGGATTGCTCCAAGTGGGGCTGCCATGGCTGGCTACCGCCCCCCCCCCTCCCTCCATATTGGCCTATATTCTCTGGCCACGGGAAGGTGAAATAAATAAATAAATAAAAGTGGGGCTGCCCTGCCCGGGCCTGCCCTTTCTGGGGCTGCCCTGCCCCAACTGATCCACGATGTCCGGATTTCATTGAGCAGTGCTTTTCACCTGGGTCAAAGTGTAGATGACTTGTGCCGTGTGGTAGTGGTAAAGTCGACTAACGGCTATGCCTCATTGTATGTATTGTCGTGGTAGTTGGTTACCGACTATGACTCATTGTATGTATTGTAGTGGTGGTTGGTTACCGACTATGACTCATTGTGTCACAACATTCTCGTCTTGCGTGACACCGACATGACGGGACAGCTTGTTGGCAGCAGCTACTGGAGCAGTCGACAGTGTCGGTAGATCAGATTGCTGCGGACCAAAGCGCACACCACACAGCACATTGTCCACGTCGCTGTACTCCAAGTGTACACCTTGGTGAACCGAAATGATATTCAAGCCGATTATCACGTCTGCCATGACTGACGACAGGTGCTCGACTACAAGAAAGTCGGCCTTCGTCAGCGGCAGCTCAACAGCTTCATCGCTACGCTCGACTTCAACACAAACACGTCCCAGTATTTGCACTGCCTTACCACTAACATCCACAATTTGAGTGGCATCAGACATGATGTGCAGGTCCATGGCCGACGCTGCTGACGCTGCAATCAGAGAGTTGCTGGAGCAGGAGTCTCCAGCTGCTGACAACCGATGCACATCATCAGCCTCACTCTGCCGTGCGTCCACATAAATGCGTGGCAAGCTACACGGGGACGATGTGGCAGTCACGGCTAAACAAACACCAGTGTCAGCTCCTGACTTGGCCGCGCTGGTCGATTGCTTGCTACGCTTGGGGCAGTTTGCCAGCATGTGTCCCTTCTCTTTACAGTGAAAGCACTTGCCCTTCAATTGGGGACATGAACTACGTTTGTGCCCAGAGTGCTTGCAGTGAAAACACAATACACTAGATGGAACAGCAGTAGACGAGGATCCCTTGTTACTACTGCTGGCAGCTGCTGATACAGAACTTGGAAACTGGCGCGTCACTCGTTGCGCAGACCGTAATGCCTTCACCTGATCCGCACACTGGCGAATCTTCAATGAGCTCGCCGCGTTCTGCAAACGAATCTGTCCGGCAAACTCCACAGGTAATCCGGACAGGAACTGCTGTTTTAGCACAGGGTCCTCACTGACCTCTGTATGGCCACTGCACCGCAACAGTCGTCGCAGATCCGCCATATAAACATCGACAGTCTCATCAGTTCTAAGCTGACGACGCACAAATTTGACATATGCTTCCTCCTTCGTGCTGCCAAATGCAGAACGCAACTGCTCATAAATCAATGTATCGTCCTTCCGCGACGAATCATCTAACTGAGACCATACTGTAAAAGCAGCCTTGTCCAAAAATAGTGGTAAGTATTCAGCTCGCTTCTCCTTCGTCTGCCATCCTTGTATTTCGGCAACAACTTTAAATTTTGCCAGAAACGTTTCAAGGTCCTCGCTCCGGCCACCGCCAAAAGCTTTCAACAACGACAGACCGACAGAAGACGACATTCTCAGCAAGCGACACTAACACTAATCTAAGCCGGGTTTCGGTACCACTTTGTAGGAGAATTAGACTATTATTATTACATACCGAAGGTTTATACAATGAATAAGAACAAATGCAAAGGAGCCATCAAAACTACGCTCCTTTCCGCACAAAACAGCAAGAAAGAACTAAGGAACAAAAGAGATCGCGTGCCTTGCGCACGCAGGCACGACAGGCTAAACCAGGTACAGCAGAAGAGAATACGTCATGATGTACAAGAATGCATAAGTACTGACACAAGTCAGTACGACGTAAGAAGAGCAGCATGAAGTAGTACACTGTACACATCAAGGGGGGTCATTCTACTTCAGTATTGTTGACAATTTGTTGTGGTAGTTGGTTGCCGACTATGACTCATTGTGTGTATTGTCGTGGTAGTTGGTTACCGACTATGACTCATTGTATACCGTCTGATGGTGCTTGGCCTCTGCAAATTTTGCAGTTGTGTTTGTTTTGCGGATGAACATAAATTTTTTCGTAAGATTGTTATGTCGTCGGGGTGCCGCTTCCCATACTGACCTGAACATCGCATGCCCCATGCCCCCCCCCCCCCCCCCCCCTTCTCACCACGCGCACACTGCGACTTTGAGTTCTACCTGCCCAGTTGAGTACTATTTTTCTTGCCGTTGTTGTTGTTGTTGTTGTTGTTGTTGTTGTTGTTGTTTGAAATCTTTTATTCTCACGATAGCCTGTGGCCAATAAGAGAAAAATAATTACAGGCACGGGGATCAGATACAGAGAGATCAGAGTTTAGCTGCTTGCTGAGGCAGTAGCGATGGCAATAGGGAGTTTATCACATAGGTTGTTGTTGTTGTTGTTGTTGTTGTTGTTGTTGTTGTTGTTGTTGTTGTTGTTGTTGTGTGCGTGCCAAAACTACAGGTGAAATACACAAAGGCTGTACTGGATGGACAGCATGACCTTCCAACAACCGAGGAGATGATTGCATGGCAGGACCGTGACTACGAAAAGCGATTGGCAGAAGGACTTCGGTCGCACGAGGCCCATCTCATGGCGCAGAGACAATTCGAATACGTCATGGACCTGGCGGAGTGCGCGGGAATTCCCCCTATCCCCGCACACATACGGGCAATCTATGAGTACATCATGGACGGACGGGCCCGCAACCTGACACGCTACCGCCAACAGAACTTCCATATTCGGCATGATGTCCAAACCGCACCTGGTGTGAGTGCCAGCGACCTGTTTGAGGTAGTACCAGCAAGCAATACCGCTGCTGACAAACAAACCGCGTCGGAGTGAGAAGAGACTTTCAGAACAGCTTACTGTTGGCCAAGGCGACGTAGGAGTTGCGAGCGGTAGTGGCATTTCCGTGTCCGACGGTATTGTGTCTTGTGCGTCCGCTTTGCCAGGAGACTGTTATGCCGGATGGTGGTACATGATACATGATACATGATACATGGTACATGACACATGGTACATGACACATGGTACATGACACATGGTAGTTCCGACAGACACAACTAGTACCATGTACAGATTTCAGGCCCTATGAACTAGCATACAGTGGCCCTGCAGTGCATGGTAGGTCCGAGCCACACTACTAGTAGAGGTTGCAGGCCCTAAGAACTAGCCCACGCGGTACTTGGTAGGGCTGACCCGCAACAGTACATGTGCACTGTATGCAGGCCCTGTGGACTAGCATACAGTGGCCCGTCTCTGTGCCCCTGTGTGTGTGTGTGTGTGTGTGTGTGTGTGTGTGTGTGTGTGTGTGTGTGTGTGTGTGTGTGTGTGTGTGTGTGTGTGTGTGTACTACCACCTGACGTGTTTGGTACCACACTCGGCACCACGCTCGGCTCATGGAAATGTGCTACACGTGCCGGATGGCCAGCCTTGTTCAGTCTAGCTGGCTGTTACCGCCCATGCCTCCTCAGCTGTCTATCTATTCTTCCCAGCCAGCCTTGTTCAGTTTAGCTGGCTGTTACCGCCCATGCCTCCTCAGCTGTCTATCTATTCTTCCCAGCCAGCCTTGTTCAGTCTAGCTGGCTGTTACCGCCCATGCCTCCTCAGCTGTCTATCTATTCTTCCCAGCCAGCCTTGTTCAGTTTAGCTGGCTGTTACCGCCCATGCCTCCTCAGCTGTTTATCTATTCTTCCCAGTGCACTAGAGCACATCACACATTATTTCTCGTATTATTTTTACACACTACCCGAGTACTACTTTGATGTGCTAGTCAAGTAATGATGTACTAGTGACCCCACAGGTCCACTAACAGCACCACATCCACAGGTCCACTAACAGCACCACATCCACAGGTCCACTAACAGCACCACATCCACAGGTCCACTAACAGCACCACATCCACAGGTCCACTAACAGCACCACATCCACAGGTCCACTAACAGCACCACATCCACAGGTCCACTAACAGCACCACATCCGTACAGACAACGACTGTAACTCTACATGCCATGATGTAGAGTTACCGGCCACAGCCGTGCAGATTTATGAAATCCTCCACAGCTGATCTAGTTCGCCCCGCATCTGTTCCGTCTTCCGTGCTAGGTTCCACACTGCCTCCCCCCCCCCCCCCAGATTCAGAAACTGCTTTTTGTCGTCGTCATGGTTGTTGTTATCATTAATAATTTTTTACTTCAAAGTATTTAACTTGGAGACCCAGCCGACCATAATCGCTTGAAAAAAAGACACGTACCAGTACCGCACTATATCCCGTATTATTTATATTTCTCGACCCGTTCTGTAGTGCCATTGTCATGGCTGTGTGTGCGGCTAGCTGTTAGGAGTATTTATCTTTTCCTAGATTGGCAGCCGACACTCGAGTAGTTTTCATTTACATGTGTATGTTGCAATTAGCTTCTAACTTCTAGCCGTGTTTCTAGTCTATGTTTTGTTTTCTGTACTATTTGAATTCACGCGGTTTGTAATTCACGCGGTTTGTAATTCACCTCCGACCACCCGATTCACCCGCCATGTACACTATGTGCACTACTACTCTGAAGTCCAAAGTGATTTAAATTAGTTTTTGGCATTTTTTGCATGCACCATGCTATCACTAGCCAGTCGTTTCCTGTTTTTACATACAGTACATGTACCCCCCCCCCAATTTCACCCCGATCTGCCATGATCAGCTTTTCCAACGAATACGAAACCATGTTCCTCATCATCGGACTGGATACAGCAGCGATCGAGTCACTAGCTGGTTAACTTAACAACAGCTTGTTGTGTATGTACACAACTGCCTGGTTTAGCCTGGTTTATAGGATGGATTTGTGGGTTTAACACGCAACTCCTGGTTTCCAGCAGGAAGTTGTAGATTTATACAACTCTCTGGTTTCCAGCAGGGAGTTTTGGAGGTTATAGAATACCCTGGTTCACAGCAGGGAATACCAGTAATGGATTTATACAACTCCCTGGTTTATAGCAAAATATTAGTTGTGTATACAACTCTCTGGTTTCCAGCAGGGAGTTGCAGCTTCCAAGAACTCCCTGGTTTGAAGGAGGGAGTTGTCGGTTTATACCTGAATCATGACATGCAACTGTCTGGTTTACCGAAGGGAATTGTGGGTTTCTACGACTGCCTGGTTTGCAGCAGAGAGCTGTGTGTTCACACTATGTAACTCCCTGGTCTACAGCGGGAGTTGCGGGTTTCCACAACTCCCCGATTTACAGTAGGGAATTGTGGGTTTACAGGCTAGTTTATACAACTCCTTGGTTTACAGCAGGGACGTCGTGGGTTTATGCTAGGGCTCAAACGGTTAGTCCGATTAACCGGTTGCAGACCGGTTACGAAGAATTAACGGTTAACCGATAAAGATAACGGTTACGCAGTAACTTTTCAGTCAATTTTTCAAGTATCAGGTCGTTGCAAAGTATGCACTTTCGCAGGCTGTTGCACGCGTACGCAATTTCTGGGCTCTCAACTCGGTCATATCTGGTCTCTTGGTGTGAGAGTATGTATGCATGAGCATGCAAGAGAATGTACATTGTGTGCGTTGTACTGAATAGGGTACTTTTTTGAATGAGTATAGTCAAATATACGGTTAAAAAAGAGTCCGCAGGATTGCCGTGGCTTATAGGTTAGAACCGTTAAACCGACCGTTAGCTTAGCAGTTAACCGTTAGGGGTAAAACCGTGACCGTTTGAGCCCTAGTTTATGCAACTCCATGATTTACGGTGAGCAATGAATGCAACCTGATAAGGTGAAGATTATATCAAGGCAGAAGATAGTGTGTGAGTAGCAATGATAGAACGCAAGGAAAGCAAAACAAGTGACATACCAAGTGTAACAGCGAACTGTGGGGAAAAAATAGTGATGGTAAAAAACTTGCCAACAGAAGAAAAGAATGCTGCTGCAAGTGCTTGTGCTCCTGCAGCCAGCATATTAGCATAACATCGTTACAGTACACATTCAGAACGAGCCAGTCCTTATTAGGCGAGTGCTTCCTCGTCATCTTCAACGGAGAGTGCACAGAAATGTTCCTTCCCTTCAGGAAACATAGCGGAAATAAATGAAATTGTCAGATGCGGGAGGCCAACATTGGAAAACCAATAAATGCATCGTTCAATGTCTCAGATGCACTCAGAATGCAAAGAAGGAGGAAAACAAAGGCAATGGACAATAATAATAGCACTTGGTAGTCCTGGAATGGATCAGCACAACAGAAATTCTAGCTGTCTGTCTGTACAGCATAAAAAAAGAGAAGGGATCTCACGGGTGTAGTGTCAATAAATCTGTCTAGTTTTACTGTTGTCGTTACGCATCTGAGTGCGTGCTGAGTCGCTCAAACACTCACACCAGACCATAGGTGTGGGATTGAGCGTGCTGGTGGGCTGCTTGCTGTGCAGCTGGCGACCAGTACTGCTGTTGTTGTTGTTGTTGTTGTTGCTGCTGCTGTGCCCCGCGTGTAGGATGTGCCATAGCCGTGGGAGCACCACCAGCAGATGCTGGCGAGCTGCCAACCATTCGAGGCTGCACTTGAACGCCGCCCGCACTTGGCATGCGAGCGGACGCCTGGTAGACGTTCTGCGGCGTGCGGCCGGGCACTGGAGCGGACAGGGAGTTGGGTGCGGCCTGTCGAACACCCTGTGCTGAAGCTGGTGATGCTGTTCGCAGGGTGTTGACGGGGGATGGGGCAGTGGCTAGTCCGGTAGCCATTGGTTGCCGCCCGGCTGGGAATCCCTGCTGGCTGCTGGCACCTGCGGGCATAGTGCCGTGCGGAGAGCTGGTTTTCGAGCTACCGCCGCTAGCATTACCAAAGAACTTCTTGCCGTTTGTAGGCGTCTCTGCACGGCTGGTTTTCCTACTCTTCGATTGCTGCTGCTGCTGCTGCTGCTGCTGCTGTGTACCACTGGAGGAATAGAGCATGTCCATCTCGGGGCGGCGAATACGCGATGGTTCCGGTGCTCCACCGATGGGTGACTGTGCTGGTTGATGTCGCTGCTGCTGCTGCTGTCCATAGTGCATGGCCGCTGGGTCATGGGGTGATCTGGCCTGCTGCTGCTGATGGGGCTGCTGCTGATGATGCTGGCGGTACGGTTGAGGTGAAGCAGCCGTCTTGTTCGCGTTGGCTGCCACTGGTGGCTGCTGTGAGTGATGATACGGTCGGCTAGCGTTAGCATGTTGTTGATGTTGCTGCTGCTGCTGCTGATGAAGTATTGGCTGCTGTTGCCGCGGGGCTGCTGGTGGCTGCCTGCTAATCGGAGGAGAGCTGGCGTAGGAGAGCTGCTGGTGTGCTTGCTGCACAGCCTGCGCACGCACTGCCTGATCGTTGCTAGCCGGGCTGCGCAGAGCGCTTCCCTGTGCTGCTGCGTTCACCGACCGGCCGTACGTGGCAGGTGGAGTGGAGACTTTACGCACAGCCATCGCCTGTGTACTGACACTGGCTGTGGCTGTAGCAGCACCAGGTCCGGCCATGTTGGGAGCGGAAACACGGCGAGCATGCAGTGGACCAGTGATGACCGGCGCTGGCGCAGCACCAATAGCCTGATTGCCACTCGCAGGTGCAAGACTCTGGTGCTGTGGCTGCTGCTGCTGGTGCTGTTGTAATTGCAGGTGAGGTTGCTGAGAAGACTGCAGCTGCTGGCCATGCGGTGCTGATTGGGGTTTCTGTGTGTGCATAGTGGCTTGCGAGTCGGGTGTCTGTGTGCCAGAGCGCACATCTCTGGTGGTGCCATGGCCATACTGTCTCTGTTGGTAAGGCTGCTGGTGTTGCTGCTGCTGCTGCTGTTGTTGCTGGTGCTGCTGGTGTGGCTGCTGCTGCTGCTGTTGCTGCTGTGGCTGTTGATGCGGTTGCTGCTGCTGCTGTTGCTGCTGGTGCTGCTGTGGCTGTTGATGCGGTTGCTGCTGTTGGAACTGGCTTTGTGCCTGCTGTTGTTGAGCCTGTGTCGGCTGCAGCTGCGGAGACATTGCAGCAGGCTGCAGCCGCTGTGGCTGATTCAGACGTGCCTGCTGTTGCTGCTGCTGGTGGTTCTGCTGGTTCTGCGGGATAGTTTGCGTGAGTCTGGCCTGACCCGCGACAGGTGCAAGCTGTGCTGAAGTTGACGACGACGGCTTGGCCAGTACTGGCGGAGGAGGCCCAGGGACACGTGAGGACGGCGTCGACGCCCCACTGGAGCTGGTTCTCATCGCCTGTGCTCTGTAAGACTGCTGTGCCGCCGGTGCTGCTGATGCTTGATGCTGCTGATGCTGCTGCTGCTGATGCAAGTGCTGCTGAGAGCTATTCACCGCTGTGCTGGGTACGGGGTGTCTCGTTGATTGACTGGCGTCGATGGTCTGGCTGCTTGCCGATGTCACTGACTGAGTCCCACTGGACAACATAGTAGTCGAGCTGGCCATAGTGCTTGCTATTTGTTGCTGCTGCTGCTGGTGGTGGTTAGACCTGGCGACTCCCACGTTCGTAGAGCTGATAGCTGCTGGCAAGGTGGGCTGTGGTGGGCTGTTGTCGGATGCAAAAGGAGAGCTGATGTTCGACGCGGCGCCCTTCACTGACTGCGGCGTTTGGTGCACCTTGACGGCGTCGAACGTGAACTTGCTGCCGCCCTTCGGAGCGTTGGGTGAGAGTACGGTGCTACGCATATCCAGGTTTGTGTGCGACGCAAACTGAGGGTGAACGACTTGCGGCTGAGAGCCGCGCCGAGAGTTGGGCTGAGTCAGAGAGCGCGGCGAACGCGCCTGCTGCGCCATGGGGCTGGGGCTGACGGCACCGTCCGGTTGGGCGCCGTGCGGTGCTCGTTGCTGCTGCTGCTGTGGCGATGTCGCGTCCCCCGTTGCACTGTTGGGTGACGACACACTGCTGGAGGAGGTCTGGAGAGAGCGAACACGTGAGGACGATGACGCCTTGGCGCCTGCCTCTTGATCAACCATGTGTCCGATCTGCAGCTTACCATTCAGTACAGAGGCAGCGGCTTGGTGACGTACGGACAAACCTGCCACCTCTGCCGTCGCCGGTGTAGTGGCTCCTGGACTGCTCGCAGAGCTCAGCGATATGTTGCGTTTCGGCGGCGGGGGCTTGCGCTTTGCAGGGCCGGGCGCTGCATTCGGACTGCGAGGACTCTGCAGATCGGAGCTGGAGCTGTTGCTGAGGTTGGCCGTGCGCTGCTGGCTTTGCGAGCGATTCAGCTCGTTGTGCTGCGCCGATTGGGGAGCGTCAACGAAAACATCACTGCCCTCTCCGTTCGCTGATTTCAAATGCTGCTGTGAGCCCGGTGCCCGGTGCGTGGTTAATGGCTCCTCATTGGAATACCATTGTGCTGGGTGCGCGAGATTCACGCCCGATGCGCCAGGCTTAGCGGGCGCAGCGGCGTTGTGCAACTGCGAGGAGAGATTGCGTGCGACAGCCATGCCACCACCACCACCACCACCCGTCTTGGGCTTAGGTGCAGTGGCCGGGGGCTGTGCTGATCTTGAATTGCTGCTGCTGCTTGCTGCTACGGTGTGCCTGGGCTGAGAGCCATTCACTCCGCGCCTGTGATGATAGGAACATACACAGGCGGTCACATGCGCGTGCACACACGAATGCAAATGGGAACAGAAGTACATATTATTATGTTCACAATTAGCATACAGATATCAACACACACACACACACACTGTACTGTACTTGTTGCTCACTGCCAAAACTGGTCACGTGAGTCCCCCGGGAGAGGGGAGAGAGACTCAAAAGGAATCTTGGAAAGATGACTCAATTGGTTATTGAACCGCCCAACGGCCGACACCCCTGAAATCCCCAAAACGCTGGGTGGACTTGAAAATGATCCCACTTATGGGCTCACCACACCTCAGTAAGTGGGTGATGACAAGGTGCAGAAAAAGGATTGACGGTATCAGGGTATCCGTCCCGGGATCCAACTGCAGTTACCCCTGCCCCCAGTGAAGGTAATACTTGCTACTAGTGTGAGTGGCTAAATCAGAGTGGATCTGATAAAAGCTTCACTAGCACCATTGATTACACAAGAGTTAATCTAGCCAGAAGCAGTCCATGGTTAACAGGTATGTATACTTCAAATAGAAAGTATATGAACCCTGGAACCAACAAAGGTGGCAGGTACAACATTACACCTTCAAGCGGCCGAGCCTGTTGGCAACAGACCCAACACAATCAGGCATAGGTGTACCTACCAACCGAACTAACTGGCAACACACACACACACACACACACACACACACACACACACACACACACACACACACACACACACACACACACACACACACACACACACACACACACACACACACACACACACACACACACACACACACACACACACACACACACACACACACACACACACACACACACACACACACACACACACACACACACACACACACACACACACACACACACACACACACACACACACACACACACACACACACACACACACACACACACACACACACACACACACACACACACACACACACACACACACACACACACACACACACACACACACACACACACACACACACACACACACACACACACACACACACACACACACACACACACACACACACACACACACACACACACACACACACACACACACACACACACACACACACACACACACACACACACACCCGAACACGCATCATACTCATACTCATACACACACACGCACGCACGCACACACATACATACACACACACACACACACTTCTCCATGTGCATGGGAGAAATAAATGAGCCGCCGACAAATCGAATTAGCCCCACGCCTTCTCACCCTCCTCCGGTTCATAGTATTTTCTAGGCTACTGTAACATTAGTAACTATAATGATTGTATTGGGTAGAAAGGAAAAGGACATATGGATACGAGTTAAGATGTCTCAGTACTCTGTCAGTTTTGTGCCTAGTTGTTGCACTTTCTGACTGTATATAGTATCTGGTCACGGGTGATGGAGAGTTACTCTTAACTCGTATCCATATATCCTTTTCCTTTCTACATTTATTTATGGCTCAACATCCGAGTTTCAAATTGTATCGGGTGACCATGATTTACATGTGGCTGTACTCAGCGTAAGCTCAACTACTTTGAAGTACCAGTGAGCAACTTAGCACTGTATGCGTTCCTTAGGACTTCAGGCGGTGCTAATTTTTTTAATGGCATAAATTGGCATTGTATGCCACTGAACACAATGTTACCCTGGCTGAGCTTAATGGGCCCCACCACCACACTCCTTAATCCACTTCAGTGTCTGGAGATGCAGTACTGCCGGTCGCCGAAGAACTGGGAGGGGGGGGGGGGGGGGGGGGGGGCAGCCTCCTAGCCTAGACCGCTCTTATCTTTATGTATTACTGTGAATGCACAGTTGAGTCACCGTGTATACATTGGTATGCTGTGCTTGGTGAAAGTCTAGCCTGGTCATTCCTCGGCGCTCTGTTCTTAGGGGGCCCGGCAGTACTATACGTGGGTTATGTAGAAAAAAAGGGAAAAACCCCTCATCCGTGCGCCTACCTGGCATGATTGTCATACGACTGCTGCTGCTGCTGCTGGCGATGATGCTGTTGCTGTACTGCGCCAGACAGCGTCATTCCTAGCGTCGTCTCATCGTCATCAGCCCAGTACTCCGTCAGCTGCTGGCTAGGCGACGCGGCGAAAGAGGACAGGGACGATGCGGTGGCGGGGCCTGGGCTCGGAGCAACCGGCGTGGAGACCAGCGAAGACGTGCACAGGCTGTCGGCACGGTCCGACAGAAAGTCACTGGGCGCAAACTCGCTGTATTCTTCTCCGGCCGTCGACGGTGACGTGCGTCCACTGCCAGGGTGTAGGTGCAGTAATGGTGGTCGATCCACACCGGCATTGTATACCTGCATCTAGGACAGACACACCAGAAAGCAGAACATGGGGGCAGAATAAACTTCAAGACTCAACATACATGTATATAGACAAGCAGGTGTAGATATACAGCAAACCTGTCAATGTGACCACTCGGATAAGGCGACCACCTGTCCTAGAAGACCACTGAAACCAGCATCAAGAGATGCTAGTCCCAGTCAAATGACCCTGGATAAGGAGACCACCTGGTTACAAAGACCAAGTGTTGAAGGTCCCTTGAGCGGTCGTCTTAGACAGGTTTCAATGTACATTGTCACAACCTTGCATTGAAGCCTACAGATTTCCAGCAACCCTGTGCCTGTGTCGTCGGCAAGTAGCTAGGTGTGATCACTGATAAGACATCAGTATAATTAAAGCCTTGTGCAGAGCAATAACTTATCCAGTTACAGGTAATCCTTTGGTCATTTTACTGGATTCCAATAGAAAAGAGCCGGGCGATAAACCTGCAGCTGAATAGGCCTGCAGAGCCTGCAGAGCAGCAAGTACATGTATGTACATCTGAAAGGTACAAGGCTCACACAGTTAAACAGTTTAGCTATGACCCCCACCCCGCCCCGTCCTGTACGAAAATATTTATATTTTTTCTCAAAACGAAACTCTCCTCCTCCCCCCCCCCCCCCCCACACACACATACGAAACTTGTGCGTTTCTGGTAAAAGATAGATGATAATGGAGTCCATATGGACGGTCCCTAAGACTGCCAGCACACAGCACACACTCACATTATCACCACGACCAGGATACTGGTGTGTGCTTGCCACTTGCTGTTGCTGTTGACGCTGTTGCTGTTGCTGCTGTTTCTTCTTCTGCAAGGTTTTGGATTCCTCCTGTTCCTGATGTTCCAGAATCCACTTCATGAGCTGCTGGGGTTGGTCACTCGACCCAGATGCTAAGAACGTAGCAGAAAGAAAGACAAGAAGAATATCACACAACTGCCAATACAGTGCTGCTCAACCAAGCAATGCCAATGTTGATGAGTAGGGATGTTATCGGGTAATAAGGTACCCGTGCTACCCGTAATTAGAGCGGGTATTCGGGTAGTAGCTTGCTCCTGACAACCAGACCGGGTAGTTGGGGGTACATTATTTTCGCAACGGTGCATGTAAAAGCCCGGCAATGTGCTTACTGTAAACTTTCTATGTAGCGCAAGTGCACACCCATCGTACAAACTATGCCAAAAAATACCCGATAGGGTAGGCGTGCTACCCGGATAGAGATACCCAAACTCGTAACCAGACCAAATTCCTACCACTTGCAACCCTATTGATAAGGCCAACATATTTTACAGCGTTCGTTGAGTTTAGCCAACTAACCTGCCGCAACCTGGCTAGCACTGCTCTCGCTGGTGCCGCTCGGAGACGTCTTGTGTGCCACTCTCCCGCCAGCGTTGGGCGAGAGCGGTGACCGAATGGCTGCTGCAGCAGCGCTGCTAGCGCGAGTATCCCTGGATACCGTGCTCTCCGAGTCGGTGGTGTTCACCGAGAGATGGCCGCCAAAGTCCATGCTGCGAGCCAGGGCCGCGGAGGCTGCACTCGCACCCGCAGCACCCTCGTTGACGGGGTTCAGGCTGTTGCCACGCTTGCGATGACGAGCACGTGGTGTGGTGTCTACTATCGTCGCAGAACGTGAGGAAGTAAACGGACACACAGTGCGGTGAATAACAAACAGAAGACAGAACAAAAGCATGGGGTTATTACCTCAACATTAATGATGAGGGGCGAATTCCCCCGCAACACTGTGTATTGAAAGCATGGATTGGTGCTTTCTTACAGTCGAAGGTTCGATGGATTTCTCGTGTGATCTCGATGGCAGTCGTACGTCAGTCAAGTGCTAAGTCAAGTCGGCGGAAAAGTGCGAGCTCCAGTGTGGGCAGCAAACACTTTCTGGGCTATAGTATAGGGCCATTTTCTGTGGGGATAACAATGAGGACTAATGTGGGTTTTCTAGCTTGTATGTGGCAAACAAGAAAAAACTGAGCGGGGTTACAGAGAACATCAAATAAATAACACATACTCCAACACATGTACAAAGCGCAAACCAACAACCTTGCAGCGTGAAGGGCTTAGGTTTGGAAAGGTCCAATGAGCGCAACGCATATGAGCCTATGAACACGAGCTACGTCGGGTACCACGGCGACAAAGAATACTGAATGTTCCAGGATGATGACGAGACCAGCACAGTGACACAGTCTTGGTCCGCCACAATTTACGCGAGTTATACAGGTTATGCGAATGATACTACGGGGGGGGGGGGGGGGGGGGGGGAGCCAGCGGAACCGCTAATGAGCGCTAGGTACACAGTGGCGCCGCTAACGGGTGTAATGTACGCAGTGAGAGTTGCTAGCACAGCGCTGTGCCGCTACTTCACCAAAGCATCCCAACGGATGACGGACCATGGTTTCAAGTGTATAAGTCGCACTTTAAACACTCATAATTAAATTTAATTTAATTTTACCGAACAAATCTCTGCGACTTATACTACGATGATCAAGTGAACACTGAGATGCAGGGTGGCTGTCTGTATAAAGTAACAAAAAATCTGGGTGCGGCTTATACTCCAGTGCGGCTTATACTCCAGTGCGGCTCACGCTCCGGAAAGTACGGTAAAACAAAAACTCTACTCGGATGGTGAGCCAATTAAATGATGGTGAAAAAGAAGAAGGACAAAATGTTACGCGTTATGACTAACTGTCCACCAACGTAACCAGATCTTGTCGCACTCGCTGACTGTATAAGATCTGGTTACGTTGGCGGACAGTACTGTTAGTCATAACTCGTAACATTTTGTCCTTCTTCTTTTTCACCAAAAAAAAACTCTACTCACTGAACTAGACTAACCTGAACTGCTTCCGGAATCCGTCTTGCGAGGACGTCGGGGAATGGACGCCGGTGAGTAGTTGAGCATCTCTGCCAGCCGCTCCGTGGAGTTCTGCTTCTTGCGAGTGCCGCCGCCGCCACTGCCACCACTGCCACTGCTTGCCTTGCTAGCCGTGCTACCGGCCACGGAAGACGCAGCAGCCATGGCAACGGCTGAGCTGGTGGCGCGCAGAGCTGCGGCGCTACCGTCGCTCGTGGTTGCCGTCGACGACGAGGGCAATCCTGCAGTGGCGGTGGTGCTCCCTCGCGGTGTTCGGTCTCCTCTTAGCTGGCCGTCGGATTCCACCTTCATTTGAACTACATGTACGTCGGACAGCGGGAGACAACGGAAAGCAAAATCATGCAAGATTGACATCACGCCCAGAGCACACCGGGTAGCAAGCCACCACCGGTGCAGACCCGAAACAGATCCGGTCAAACTTCAGCAGAACATGATAACATCTCGCCAAACAGCCATTGAAACCTGCACAGTGAAACCTGTCAACGGCTCACATCACAAACAGATGTGGCAGGTTCTGGCACACAACTCTAGCTGCTCAGATTGTGATATGAGCGTGCACATTGGGCTCCACATCGCATTCTTCAAAAAAGTAATATACAGTCAATTTCGCGTATAACGACACTCGGCGGGGCATCTGAAAAGTGTCCTTATTCGCGAAGTGTCGTTATACCCGAAGTCCCATTATATGTATTACACTTGGGTGGGACTTTGCTCTGGGCATGGAAATTCTGTCGTTATTCGCGAATTGTCGTTATATCCGCAGTCGTTATTAGCCAAGTTGACTGTATTATGTTTATAATATTATACATTGCCCTATCATTTTTCTATGCAGTGGCCTTCGATTAAACTCTTTCGACTTTATTCCAGACTATGTCACCTTATTGACAGTCAAGCTTCAAAAACTGTAAGTCAAATGAAGCGAAGTTATTAGTGTTAGTAGCGAAGTACAGTAAACCTGTCAAGGCGACCACCTGTCCCAGAAGACCACTGCTACCAGGAACAAGGGATGCTATGTGCAGTCAAATGACCCTGGCTAAGGAGACCACCTGGCAACAGAGACCACATTTCGCAGGTCCCTTGAGCCGTCGTCTTAGACAGGTTTCCCTGTATACCCCATAGTGCAGTCCTGCTCGTTGAAATCCAATAAGGCCAGCGAATGCAATAGCGGGCGCTGGGCAGCCCTAGACCTGGGAACCCTGGAATGTGAACTGGCGCAGGGCACAAACTTGATCCATGCGATTGGATTTCATTGAGCAGCACTTAGTGTTCGATCCAAGGTACTTTATACTGAACTCTATTACTGAACTGTCATACAACCAGGAGAGATACGCCAACAAGACACATGGTTAGGGGTGAAACGAGTATCTATTTTGACCAATCGATCACTCGTTCATAATATTCGATCGAGTATCCGATTATTTCGAGTATTTTATCAAAATTCAAAATCGCTAGATTTGGGAGTTCTCGACTAATTCAGAAGAAATTATCTGTGAACATAGAACAAAAGTCGCCAACGTCTTGTACAGAGTGTAAAGTAACAGTTTTCATAAGTACTTTCATATCTCAGATCGTTACTTGCCGTGGTGATCGCATCATCCAAGTCATAAAATACTGACTCAAAGATGCATGCATACGATGTACAGTGCACTGGACGAGCGGTACAACAAAAGGTTTTGAAAAATAGAATGCCAATACTAAAAAACAAAAACAAAAATACGATCGATTACAAAATTTCGAATACTCGTTTGTTTGAAAATTTCGAACGAATACTCGAATATTCGAACTAATCGTTTCACCCCTACACATGGTACTAACACAGGGAAGAGCAGTGATCTTCGATCTCCACCGACAGAGTGCCAACCCCACCTCCCCCCCCCCCCCCCCCCCCCCTCACCCCTTTCCCATCAACCAGCCATTGTTAAGTCAACAAAACCGACGTACTGCTTCATAGTCTAGCCTCGATGACAGTCATCTGGTCACTCACCCACTGGATCTCGGAACTCCACGGTGTCGTACGAGTCGTCTGCATCGTTCATTGCACCCCTACCAGTGCTGATCCTCTTGTCAAAACCGCCACCAGCGTCACCGGACATGACATGATCATAGGAACTATCCGCACCCTTGAGGCCCAACCCGGCATGTGAGGAGTTGCCATGTGAGTTGCCATGGGACAGGTGCTGCACTCTTACATCATCGTATTCGGCCGATCCGCGAGCAGGACTTCCATAGTCGACGGTGTCGTACGATACGTCTGTTACCTGCACAATGCCAATGTGCGTATAGACACCCATGCACATACATGTACATCGACAGACGGATACGCAGACAAACAGATGCACATACAACAAACAAAAATGCACATACACGCACGAACGCACAAACACGCTCGAACACGCTCAAACACACACACACACACACACACACAAATACATGCAAACACACAGGAACAGACACACAAGAACAGACACACAGGGACACACACAGGAACACACACACAAACACGCGATGAAGTTGATCCGGTGCTGGCTGCCACAGACACGAGAAATGAACAAGATTCAATTACAGGTAGCTGGTTGCCTGCAAAGTATCCGGCTCATCGAGGTGGGAAATGTTTGAATATCATCGGTGTCCGCATATGACAGGTTTCCACATATGACAGGTGTCTGGATACGGAGGATGTTTGGATATGGGAGGTGTCTGGAGATGGGAGGATATGGGAGGTGTCTAGATATATCAGGTGTCTGGATATATCAGGTGTCTGGATACGTGAGGTGTCTGAAGTTTAGATACAAAAGGCGACAAGCGCCGAATTGATATGGGAAGTCCAGATAGGAGGGTTTCCTTACCAGTGTACTGCACATACAGTAAAACCTGTAACTAAAGACCACAGTGACTAGCGACCAGCCTGGTACTACAGACCACTTTGCCAGGCACGGACGTCTCACCTTCTTACATGGTTGTGCGGAGCAAACCTCTAACTAAAGACCACCTCCCACTAAAGACCGCTTTCTCTGGCAACAAGGGGTGGTCATTAGTCACAGGTGCTGTACAGTAAAACCTGGTTTAACGCTTTCAGTGCCAGAGCAATTAGTAATGCACGGTTGGTCGTTAAAGCCAGGTGGTCCTTAGAACCAGGTCCCACAGCGTCTGTGTAGAACTGTCGGTGCATGGAAAGACGGTCGTTAACAGAAAATGCGGAGGAAAAATGAATTTCCCTTGACCAAATCGCATGCGGAAAGATATGTTCCCTTTTGGGAACATTGGCCTGATTAAGTTTACCTTAAGAGCAGGTGGTCGCTTAGGTGCAGTGTTGCCACATCATTATAGCCAAATATCAGTAGACTGAAAAAAATAAAATGCATCATCCGGGGGCTTTGCCCCCGGACCCCCCCCCCCCTCTCATAGTAACCCTAATATATTGTAGAATCCAGCGAATAAACCTACCCGCGCATAAGCCTAGGCCAAGTTCGAACATCGCCAAGCTTCGTTGTACAAACCCACCAGCGGGATTCTACAGTGCACACGATTTCCCCCAGACAGCTGATGTTTGTATTGTAGGAGAGAGCTATGGAAACACTCGGAATGAGCAGTAAAAGCCAAAATTCTGGACCATGACTTCTAAACCAAGCACAAAGGTCAAGTTTGGACACTTTCACGGCTGTTGTCGGCAGGAGACGGTCAATTGTCGGCAGGTCGTGACAGGCCCCACAAATCGGCAGGCTACTGACATGTCAGCAGGTGTGGCAACACAGTAGGTGTGACTTTGCTATTGCCTCAGTATGTGGGTGCATAGCAACCCACTCATGTCGTATGCAGGGGTGACTTTTACTTCGCCACCAGTTGTCACGCCGCCCCCACTAGCCAAACCAGTCAGTTTCACTGGCTACATCACCTTGCTGTGAGTAAGACCGCTTGAAATATGCTTGGGTCCATACAAAACACTGGATCCAGGTGAATCCAGTTTTTGAATTTTTCAAATTGTTGCTATGCCATTGCTATGCTGTGACGTAGCACTTTCAAGCACTATTGCAAAACAACAAGACAATTAACGGTGACTTACCTCAGAGTAGACTGAAGACGTAGCTCCGGCTAGATCACTGCTGATGCCAAAGCGAAGAGGCGGCGGAGGCTGATAGCTCTGCTGGTGATCTGTTGTAGCCTTGTCCTTGCTGGCCGAGCGCTTGCCGGGCTGACGCTCGTCCTTCAGGCTCCGCCGCCTCTCCCTCGCCACCTGCTTCACTCGCTCTTCGTCCGTCGTGATGCCGTCGTCCTCATAACCACGACCTTCGGCGAGGTCCTTTGCTCGCTGCTGCGCCTGCAGGCGCTCCTGCTCGAAGAGGCTGGCCTGGCGGCGCTCTCGTTTCAGCTGAAACGAGTGCTTGGCCACGGTGATTGCTACCACTTTGCCAGTGCCACGTACAATGTTAGCAGCGCTGTGCAATGGGTAAGAAAGTGGACAATATCCGCGTTACAGTATAGCATGTAGTTTAAGGTGAACACGAACGTCGGAGTTATGAGAAAGGTTTTGGTCTCGGTTGTTCTGCCTTGTGCATTTTATGTGTATTAAAATTCCGGTGTCAGGAACCTGCCAGGTTTCAGGTGTTATTATAGAACTAGGCGACCAGCAATCCCTTCACATACAGTGCATCCTCTGGTGCCTGTTAGCTGTGATTTAATTTAATAGGTGCCTGGTTTCTCTACCGAAATTGGCGGAATTAAAGTTACTCCGAAAATGACGGGTTATACAGTAAGCCTGGGGGGATGCAGGTCATTATCTGTAGTATCATCATAATATTATTTAGACTCGGATGTTGAGCCAAAGAAATCATGGATAAAAAGAAGGGACAAGATGTTACGAGTTATGACTAACTGTCCACCAACGTAACCAGATCATGTACAGTCAGTTTTGTGCCATTTGGTCACACTTGCTGACTGTATATGATCTGGACAGTTAGTCATAAATCCTCATATTTTGTCCTTTCTTTTCATCATCCTTTTTATGTTACTTTAGTTATACTTGTACGGCCATGATCCTGGAGCTTTTTGCGCCAGCCATCCTCGGACGGGAGGCTCTTCCTCGGGAACACCAGCTGCTCACCCTGTTGGTCATGTATGCTTGGCTTTGGCCAATCCTGTCCACTCAGCACCCCACGCATTCCAGAACTCGAGAAACGCAACTGACATCCTGCACTCGATCCAGTCTGGCAACACGGTGAACATCAACGATCACAGCTGGCCATCTCCCCTTAGCGCTACAGTGTTTGCTGTACCGCCATGGCTGGCTATCTCCCCTTAGCGCTACAGTATTTGCTGTACCGCCATGGCTGGCTATCTCCCCCTTAGCGCTACAGTATTTGCTGTACCGCCATGGCTGGCCATCTCCCCCTTAGCGCTACAATGATGTCTACTAAGTAATTCTCAGCCACGGGAAGGCGAAATAAATCAATACATAAATAAACGACATGAAGATACTGTTTTGATCAATAATTCACGGGTCATGTGAGACTCGGTTAAGCTGAGTTTTCCGCATCCACAGAAACGTCACCAGCCTCAAGGATCAAGGCACAGACGCAGCTCCTAAAGCGGTGGGAGGTGAATAGATCAGACCCATCACTCGAGTCATGCTCCCCTCCCCCCCCCCCCCCCCCAAGTATCCGCTCAACTGCATACCACCCTTCCATGGACACACACACACGGACAAGCAGGCATATCACACAGGACACTCACTTTGCTTGTGTGACTTTACCGAGCAGACATTTATCATCAATGTACAAGATCTGATCACCATCATCCAGCACACCAACCTTGAAGAAACAAAATGAAGAAACGAGCAAGACACAGGCACTCAATTGACCAATCCCGAAAAGATGGTCTGGGTTCGTGAAAAGTGGCACGCGTGAAATCCAGCACGAGTCAAGCGCATCGTTTCGTGTGTGTACATATAGTTGTAACCGTCACAGGCCAGAGCATGGCAGAGGGGAACCAGTCCTTTGCTCGAGTACTTGAAGATAATGCATAATTACAAAAAGAATAGAATGGGATACGGAGCTTGGGTTGGCTGTGACTCAGAGTTTCACGCCTGTGGCGACCATCAGACAGCAATGATCGCCACAGGCGTGAAACTCTAAGTCACAGCCAACCCAAGCTCCGTATCCCATTCTATTCTTTTTGTATGAAGCTCTGCACCCCGGTGCATTGAGCACTCTTTCGAGGACCACACCCAACTTTCCGTGTGTAATGCATAATTATGAAGGACAGTCATTGCTAGCTGGTCAATAGACTGTCAGGCAGTACCATTTCCCCGAATATAAGTCGCACCTTTGTACACTAAAATCCCAGAGTAATAACGGGGGTCGACCTACAATTGAGCATGACTTACTACTAAAGTCAATATGATCAAATCAATACGGTTAAACCTGTAAATGGGGGTGTGACTTTTAGAGTGACTTATAATCGGGGAGATACGGTATCTGATGGAGTGCTTAGCCCAGCTGAAGTTAGCTCTCGGCGAGGAAGGAAAGATTTGCATTACGATTGACCTTCGGTACCAATATTATCCACTCGTGTACATGTGTACACGTGTGCGCACACACGCACGCGCGTGCAAACAAGCCCACCCACGCACGCACATATGGACCCGCCAACGCAAGCACACACACACACACACACACACACACACACACACACACACACACACACACGTGCACACACACGCACGTGCACACACACATATGCACACACACACATGCACACACACACATGCACACACACACACACACACGTGCACACACACACACACACACACATATACACACATATGCACACACACACACGTGCACACACACACGTGCACACACACAAACACACAACTTACCCTATCTGCTGCTCCATCAGGAATGATAGTGTTGATATAAATACCATCATCTCCGACAGCATCCTCAGAACCCTAAACAAAGAAACACACACATACATAGAAAACGCTGAAGAAGTGAAATCGGTATCCCAAGATAATGAAGTGACATGGAGAGACATCATCCTATGCTCTGCACCAGTGATTTGTAGCATATAGGGAGATGACACCTAGGCCTACAGGCTATTACTTGAAAGTCGAAACCATACCAACCCCCCCCCCCCCCCCCCCCCGGTCTGCCCAAAACCTTACCACCCAGTCCCTGGTCTGCCTACAATCTTACCACCCGGTCCCCCACCTGCCAAAAACCTTGCCACCCGGTCCCCCACCTGCCCACAATCTTACAACCCGGTCCTTGGTCTGCCCACAATCTTACAACCCGATCCCCACCTGCCCCAAACCTTACCACCCGGTCCGCCACCTGCCCCAAACCTTACCACCCGGTCCGCCACCTGCCCCAAACCTTACCACCCGGTCCCTGGTCTGTCTACAACCTTACCACCCGGCCCCCACCTGCCCCAAACCTTACCATCCGGTCCCCCACCTGCCCCAAACCTTACCATCCGGTCCCCATACCTATCCAAAACCTTACCGCCCGGTCCCCCACCTGCCCCAAACCTTACCACCCGGTCTGCATGAAACCTGAATAGCAGGATCCCCTGCCAATCCCCTGCAGCTGAGATGGTGAGCTTGATCATAAAACGCCACCCATTCCCTCCAAGCAATCCCGGATAAAAGAACAGCCTTACCTTGCCACCGACAATGCTTATTCCAATGCCGCTGTTGCCTTTGTCGATCGTTACCGTTTCCACACGCAGGTCCAATCCGTCCAGCTTGATCGTTCTCGACGGCTTGGCGCACCCAGGCTTCTGATCCTCGCTGCTCGACCTCTCCTGATCGACCGACGACGGCGGTGGACTCTGTTCAGCTCGGGCATGCGGCGAGTGCTCAACCTCGTCCTGTCCTCGTTCCGTACCGACCGTGGCGTAACCAATAGACTCTGGCGATGGGCTTGTCGTCGCCTTTGTGACCATCGAGTAGCCCGTCAGAGGCGGCTGCTGCACTGGTTCCGTCTGCGCCTGCACGTGTTGCAGCGATGCATACCCTACAGGAACAGATCAACACAGTATATATGCCTCAGAGACACACACATGTGGACATAATACAGCCTAGTGGAACCTGTCAAGGCGACCACTCGGATAAGGCGACCACCTGTCCTACAAGACCACTGCAGCCAGGACCAAGGCATGCTATTTCCAGTCAAATGACCCTGGATAAGGAGACCACCTGGTAACAGAGACCATGTTTTGAAGGTCCCTTGAGCGGTCGTCTTACACAGGTTTCAATGTAGTATTTTCAGGAGTATAAGCCACACTGGAGTATAAACCGAATCAAGATTTTTCGTCACGAAACACAGACACCTATGCTGTATGTCACGGTTCATTTGACGATGGTAGTGTAAGCCACGCCGACCTTCCTTTTTTGGTGATTTACGTGTGTTTAATCAACCCTTTGCTGCCAACGCATGCTTGAACAGATTTTAGTGACATGAAACGTTAACGAAGAATTATTATGGATGACAAACCCGGAAAACAGCACAGCTGCACAAACTTGAAGTGTGCACATTCTTTTTGGGAGATTATAAAAATCAATTGACAACTCCAGTCTATGGTGTCTTCGTCGGTAGAACTTCACATCTCGTTCCACGCACACGTACACATTACAGTAAAACCTGTGAATGCCACCACTCGGATACGGCAACCACCTGTCCTAGAAGACCACTGTCACTAGGACCAGGGGATACTATTTCCAGTCAAATAACCCTGGATAAGGAGACCACCTGGTAAGAGAGACCATAATTTTGGAGGTGCGGTCGTCTTACACAGTTTTCAGATTATTTTCACTCTGTGCTAGATAGACATGGCTGAAAGCAGCCCTGCTTTGGGTTCAACTCGCTCATGGTCACGTTGCACTGTTTGTAAGCGTAACCTATTGAACCATGTCACGTCACGTGTGACGTTTTGCGGTCTCGCCACCGGATAGAGGCTGTGGTCCTACAATGACTCAGCGCGCCCAAGTGCATCGCTCACCAGGAGATGGACTTGACACAGCAGACTTCTGGGAAGCTGCGGCTGCCACGCTGCTGGGATCGACCCATGGCTGCCAGGTGGAGTGTGAATCCGGCGTCACAGCATATTCACACAGTCCTGCAGTCAACAACATAACCGAAGCAGTGAAGTGGGTTTAAAATTATTATTATTATTATTCGTTGGCTACAAGCAAGGGTCCCTGGTTCGAGTCCTGGTGGTGACAGTCAATTTTTTCTTCAGACTTTTCCCGTTTGTCTCTTTCCCTCAAAACCATTTATTATTATTATTATTACTTTGCACTTACGCGTCCGTGTCAGCGGTGGTAGACCGCCCACAAACTCGCACGTGCTGAATGGACTTAGGAAATGAACACTGAGCTTTCGGTGCGGCATGGAAATAACATCATTGAAAAAAAAAGAAAAGAAACAAAAACTAAAAAAATAATACAGTAAAACCTGTAACTAAAGACCACCATGACTAGCGACCAGCCTGGTACTACAGTAAAACCTGTAACTAAAGACCACCGTGACTAGCGACCAGCCTGGTACACCAGTAAAACCTGTAACTAAAGACCACTGTGACTAGCGACCAGCCTGGTACTACAGTAAAACCTGTAACTAAAGACCACCGTGACTAGCGACCAGCCTGCTACTACAGTAAAACCTGTAACTAAAGACCACCGTGACTAGCGACCAGCCTGGTACTACAGTAAAACCTGTAACTAAAGACCACCGTGACTAGCGACCAGCCTGGTACTACAGTAAAACCTGTAACTAAAGACCACCGTGACTAGCGACTAGCCTGGTACTACAGTAAAACCTGTAACTAAAGACCACCGTGACTAGCGACCAGCCTGGTACTACAGTAAAACCTGTAAGTAAAGACCACCGTGACTAGCGACCAGCCTGGTACTACAGTAAAACCTGTAACTAAAGACCACCATGACTAGCGACCAGCCTGGTACTACAGTAAAACCTGTAACTAAAGACCACCGTGACTAGCGACCAGCCTGGTACTACAGTAAAACCTGTAAGTAAAGACCACCGTGACTAGCGACCAGCCTGGTACTACAGTAAAACCTGTAATTAAAGACCACCGTGACTAGCGACCAGCCTGGTACTACAGTAAAACCTGTAACTAAAGACCACCGTGACTAGCGACCAGCCTGCTACTACAGTAAAACCTGTAACTAAAGACCACCGTGACTAGCGACTAGCCTGCTACTACAGTAAAACCTGTAACTAAAGACCACCGTGACTAGCGACCAGCCTGGTACTACAGTAAAACCTGGAACTAAAGACCACCGTGACTAGCGACTAGCCTGCTACTACAGTAAAACCTGTAACTAAAGACCACCGTGACTAGCGACCAGCCTGGTACTACAATATAACCTGTAACTAAAGACCACCGTGACTAGCGACCAGCCTGGTACTACAATATAACCTGTAACTAAAGACCACCGTGACTAGCGACCAGCCTGGTACTACAGTAAAACCTGTAACTAAAGACCACCGTGGCTAGCGTCCAGCCCGGTACTACAGACCACTTGCCCGGCATGGACGGTCTCACATTCATGTATGGTTGTGCGGCGCAACGCGCTCTAACTAAGGACCATCTGCCACTAAAGACCGCTTTCTCTGGCCCCAAGCGGTAGTCGTTAGTTACAGGTTTTACTGTAGTACCCCGAAGTACTGTGTAAGCAGTGGAGGCGGCAGCATCAGTGGATGGAGCACATGCTGAGAATATGATGCACGGGCAGAAGTATCGCACGACAATTCTCTGAAGCAATGCCGACATAACCGAGTGTGTGTGTCTGTTTCTGTGCGCAAACTACTGAAGAAAGCCTTCAGCAATACATATGCACAGGAACAAATATGGCCGGTCGAGACAGCTCGCAGCATAGGGCTCAATTGCGTGAGAGATAGTGGTTGTGAGTGAGTGAGTGAGAGACTGAGTGATAAGGAGAGAGAGAGAGAGAGAGAGAGAGAGAGAGAGAGGGCAGAAGAGAGAAAGAGAGAGAAAGTACTCTTCATGCAGATATCTTTACACCAAGTTACACTAACTAGCTGCTACCCCACTGGAAAGCAGAGCAACCGCATAGACCGAGGTGTCTGCATTCCCATACCTGCTGATGCAAGCGCAGTCAGCTGCTCCTCGACTCCCACGGGCAAGCCTTTGGTCTCCTCATGCACATATCCAGTCTGTGGCAAGGCCAGATCATTGCGTAAGTGCTCATCTTCTTCCAGCTCAACCTGCGGCAGGGGGACGGACGGTGGAAAAGATTTAACCGAACAATTACAAATAAGCGTTTCGGAAATAACACATTCAATATCGCAACCATCGCAATTTGGCCATGTCGGGTGATAGTTGGTCGTTACAGACATTGACTCTTAAATCCTGTACATATGATATCATGATGACACGCCGGATTGAGTTCACTTATCAGCCCATGCACTTGTTTTGTGAGGGTGCGCTTATGCCCTGATACAGGCACATGTGCAGTTATGCGCGGCACTACGGTACTAGCACTCAATGTTCTCACCTCTAACCCACTACCGCGCATGACCTCATCCACCGTGTTCTCGGCCATCACCACCAGCTGATTGACTAGCGTTGGCAGCATGTCAGCCTCGCCCTCCTCCCGCTGGTAGAGCCGCGCCAATGTGGCTATCTGAACCGAGTTGATCTGGTAGCAGTTGGCAGAGATCACGCCAGCAAACTCTGGCCGACTCTTCGGCGATGCTAGAAAGTTTGAGGCCTGGGCGAAATAGAGGTAAAGAACAGGCAACAGAAAGAGTCTGTTAATCACATTCTACCTGTGTCCTTTGCCTCATGGGGATCTCCCCAACATATGGGTGAGGGATCTCCCCAACATATGGGTGAAATGAGCACAGAACCGGCTAACATATACCCTTTTCGAGCCCTATAGCGGTTATGCGAAACAAGTCAGAATGGAGAGTCAGCGGCCTTCCGGAATTGCTCGTGGGCGCTAACTGTACAGCGGAGCCACTTGGGGCGCTAAGTATGCAATCACCGGGAACCGCTCATGGGCGCTAATCTAGCAGCGGAACCGCTTATGGGCTCCATATACATGTACACAGAGTGAGTCGGTAGTGAGTTGCCAGTGTATCAGTAGTGCACACCGTGCTGAAACATCTCAACTGATGGTGTAATAACAAAACCTCTATAATGGACTGTCCTCCAGAACTCCATGACATTGTGTCTATTGACAATACTAGTACAGTAGAACCTGTCAAGGCGACCACTCGGATAAGGTGACCACTCGGATAAGGTGACCACTCGGATAAGGCGATCACCTGTCCCAGACGACCACTGCAGCCAGGAGCAAGGGATGCTATTTCCAGTCAAAAGACCCTGGCTAAGGAGACCACCTGGTTACAGAGACCACATTTTGAAGGTCCCTTGAGCGGTCGTCTTACACAGGTTTCACTGTACATTGTCACGACCTTGCATTGTTTGTTTGTTTCTTTTATTTGAATTCGTTTAGAGCACAGGCAGTCCTGCCTTCTCACCAGAGGAAAAAACCTCCGGTTCCTACTAAGAACGAATAATTGAAGCCTACAGATTTCACTGTACCTGTATGATCTTGAGTAGGCTGCGCTCAGCGACGGCTCCGAGACCGCGCTGTGCCGCCCAGTCACCCAGTATGGCCAGCCGTTGCTTGAGCAGAACTCCCACGCTCCTGCTACACAGGCACACTGCTCTCTGCGTCGTCGTCTTGTCAGGCACCGTCGGGCGCACTAGCTGATTGAACAGCCAAGCACTGGAGAAGTGTAAGAGCTGCAGTAACAGGAACACAGTCATGGAGGCAAAACAGAGAGTACAATCATGCCAGCAGAACACATCTGCCTCTTCCTCTTCTCATTCCCCCTTTTTTCACCTTCCAAATACCCCTCGCATTCACTGCAGTGTCTGCTCCAGAGCCGGGTCAGACGGGTCAGTGACCCGGTTGGGGAAACTTGCTTTTTCACCTTTCAAATACCCCTCGCATTCACTGCAGTGTCTGCTCCAGAGCCGAGCCAGACGGGTCAGCGACCCGGTTGGGGGTACTTGGACCCGCCTGGAAAAAGAACACCGGGTCGCTTGTGACCCGGTTGGGACTCAACCAGGAAGTCCAAGACTCCCTGATGTACGATAGCCACACTTGAATGTACCCAGCTTTGACCCAGTTGCAAGAGTTGTGCCAGGTACATGTGTACCCGGTAGGTTCGAAATCCTAGAGCAGACAGTGCACTGTCGTGTAAGCTAACCGGGATGGTAACACGTTTCTACTTGCCAATTCAAATGAAAGAATAGAATACAATCCCAGCGCTGCTATTGCAGTGAAGGGAGCTAGCTCAACGCTATCCCACATTACGATCTGCGCGTCATAAAACTCTAGGTCAGGACATCCTGGCTCAATATTCAAGTCTTATTGTTTCTATCCTGCGCTTTGCGAGAAAAACGTGAGTGAGTTACATGCTTAATCACCTACTTGGTTCGGCTCATCGCAATTGTCGCTTATCTATCGCCACCAAGAACAGGAGTTTTGTGGCCGCTCTGTGAATTTTTCAATAGGCATAGTGAGGAAGCATGATACTTGAATACTCTCCGCCAGAAGAAAAACATTCAGCCATGGAATCAGATGAAGCGAGTCATTGAAGGGAAGCAAGGTAAGCAAAATGCACGAAATAAATCAGCGAAGGAGCGCGTTCTTGCATTCACACCCTTACAGGTCCAGAGTTCATTCGACTCTCCATCACTCGAGCTGCCGCCGTTACATGAGCTGACATTAAATTGCTGGTGTCTAGCTGCTAGCGACTGGTAGAGTATCTCTTGCTTTGTCAGCCTGTCGTATGGCAGCAATGGGAAAGGAACAGTTGTGTCTGTCTGTCACTCCGGTGCTTGAAGGAACTGTGGGCAGTGTGACCTGTGTGTCACCACAGTGTGTTTCAACAGAGCCTTCGAATGAGGCGTACAGGCCTCTCCAGACAGCTGGCATACGCTCCACTGGATACGCTGACGACGACTCTTGTAATGCTGCTGCCAGGTCTACGAAGGAACAAAAGGAACAACCAAAACGTCCCTTGCATGCGCGCATCGCATCAAAAACACTTTTCTTCTTCAGCATGACGCTCATACTCCTGTGCCGTGCACGCGTGCCTGTCACGCTCTCCAGGATGTCAGTTGCCCCTGCTACAGTTCCGGTCTTCGGGTCGCTGCGTTTGGCTTTTGGCAACACAGACAGTGTATGGCCAGATTTCCACTTCCCAAAAAAGTCGAACACACCGCGATTCAAAGCGCTAGTCGCGATCATTTTTTCTTTGGTGCCTCATTTGATCTTGCCATCACAACCTCCCAAGCAAAAGTAAGTTAGAATATCGTGATTGGACTGGGTTTTACCTGTCAAAAAGCGTGTGGGAGATAAGCGACAATTGCGATGAGCCGGACCAAGTAGAACTGGAGTGCACAAGTCTCGAGTACATGTCCCACAGTTGCTCTCGGTGAAACCTGACCCAAAGTGCAAAGCTGGCGCCCTGGACCAGTTCCGATGACATCATTGTATTTGTACATGTGCACGTCCGGCCGCATGTGTGCCACTTCCAGGGCGTCACGCACGCACCCCCCCCCCCCCCCCCCCCACACACACAGACACACACATGCATGTTTAATCTTTTATCTACTATATTTCCCCGATTAGTCACACTCGACTATAAGTCGCACCTCCTTTTCAAGTTTGAGCCATATACAGTGCTGGAAACTGAAATCCGACCCGACCCCCTCAGCGGTGCGCTCACATCGCAAAGACCCAACACGGGATGATAAAACTAGGAAACAGAGACTGAACAGGGCTCAGGGTGTCGGATTTAATTTGTCAGCACTGTAGTTTCAATATAGTCGTGTAGCCAGGATTTCACACTTGATTGAAAGTCTCTTCTCTTCTCTTCTTTGCCCTTCAAGTTGAGTGTAAAACGGTGCGACTTATAATGGGGGAAACACCATATTTCATTAACTTAAATCACATACCATACTTCCCATAAACCCAGTCACAGAGCCATACATTTTGTGATTTTATGACTGGATATAGGGCCATCGAACGGTTCACATAGAGCCTTGGTTTGTGGTTCACATAGAGCCTTGGTTTGTGGTTCACATAGAGCCTTGGTTTGTGGTTCACATAGAGCCTTGGTTTGTGGTTCACATAGAGCCTTGGTTTGTGGTTCACATAGAGCCTTGGTTTGTGGTTCATAAAGAGCCTTGGTTTGTGGTTCATATAGAGCCTTGGTTTGTGGTTCACATAGAGCCTCGGTTTGTGGTTGGCCTCACATAATACATACAACGTACTCATGTCAGTGGGAAAACACACTGCTGTTCATAATCACCTGCCCCCATGCAAAGCATCCATCCCTCACAATACCGACAGTGGTTGCTTTACCTGCGCAAACACCTCTTCTATCAGCCCTTCATTGACTTGGTAGCGGGTCACCAACGCCTTGCAATGATGCAGTGTAGCGAGGACGCCGCTTATCGTCCGCTCCGCGTCCATCGACGCCTCCTTGCTCGTGAAGAGCTGCCGTCCGCTAGGGGACGAGGGAGACGACGGAGCTGACTCCTCGGACTGGCTCAAGAACACTGGTAATTCATCCTGCATAGTACAGTAGAGAGGAACAAAGTAAAGTTATCTGGATTTGCAGCCGCATTACCTGACGTGTTGAAGAACCCATCACGCAAAGGCATTCGCATCGCAGCAGCACAGTACACAGTCAAAAGAAATGTTTTTAAGGCAAAGTCTCTCTCAGTCAAAAGAAATGTTTTTTAAGGCAAAGTCTCTCTCTCCTTGAACGCCTACATTCTATGCACTTCACCACAGGCACGGATACACTGGCTTGCTAGAACCTCAACCATGGCTCTCAATGTCAAAGTGAAACCAACCACCACGAGATCAAGACTGTATGATCTTAGAAGCGAGCCACTACAGCATCCGAGACACGACACCACCACCGGCTTTTACAATTGTGTTAAGAAACACACCCAGTTTAGGAAGTTCCTCTTGCGCAAAGACCATCACCATGCTTGATGGCTGTAAAAGCCATATACATATAACGAAGTGCTAATTCTAACGAGTTAACAAGCAGAAATGTGTCGTTAAAATAGAAATCGTTATACAGAAATCGATGCAAATACAGTTCTATTGAGCATTGAGAATGCGTGAAAATCGTTATATATGCGCCTCATTACAATAATGGCTTTTACAGTATACGAAGGTGGCACATGCTGCGCCTAGAGGTGGGAGTAAGACTGTTAGTATCAAAACCAGTGCCCAACAGAGGGGGGGGGGGGGGGGGGGGAATGATCACAACCAGTGCCCAACAGGGGGGGGGGGGGGGGTACTACAAGCTGTCCAGAAAATAGAGATTGTTCAACTTTCAACTTACCACGAGTTCTTCTATGAATCCATCGACGAGTTTGTCCAGCGCCAGCAGAGTGGTCTTGCCAAGTATGGCCTGGCAGCCAGCAGTAACCGCCGCCAGTGCCGGGTCCTGGGACAGGAACTGGTGCAGCTCGCTGGCATTGGCCAGCCACAGAGCGGCTACGTCAGACTTGCCACCTTGATCCTGCACGCCCGCACGCACACACACACACACACAATACAAACAGAAACACAAGGGCAGAAAGAGAACAGAGACAACCGGCTTGGTCATTGTCGCAACGCTGCGTTCCATACATGTAGCAAAGCTAAGGCAATCCTCAGAGAACTCATAATCTGTACATCATGTGGCTACAAACACAAACGCATACGCCTTGAAAGTGCTACAGTACTATCGGGTGCCGAAGAACGAACATGCTAGAGTATTGCCAAACACTGCATACCAATATATACACGGTAACTCATCTGCCCATAGACTCTAGTAAATGAAAATAAAGAATGGTCCAGGCTGCGAGGTCGAAACACAGCATCCAGTGTGAACGTGGGGGAGGCGCGGGTCGGTGGTTAAAACTGGCCACGGTGGATGAAATCATCTATCAATCTCAACACAGGTGTAGCCTTTGTTGATATGTCAAAGGCATTCGATAAAGTGAAACATCAAACTCTTGTGCAAGATCTGTTCGAACTTGGCATCTGCGACACGGCACTCTGTTGGCTGGTGGATTACCTCTCTGATAGAGAACAGTACGTTCAGGTTGGCCAGACTAGAAGTCTCCCGTACACCAGTTACTCAGGTGTCCCCCAGGGGTCGGTACTGGGCCCACTGCTATTTATTGTCTATGCCCGCGGCATAGCAGAAGAACTATCGCCGTTTAATGTGGGAGCAATCCAGTTTGCTGATGACATCTCTATACGATGTAGCAGGGAGTCTGCGGAAGCTGTTTCTGCACACCTTTCAGCTGCTGTTCAGCACCTGGCCACCTGGCTGAAGGGCCGTGGTTTAATTCTTAATGAAAGAAAGACACAGATATTGCCTATTCCCCCATCCCCATCTCAAGCACTTGAGCTGCATGTCATTTGTAATGGGCAGACGCTGCCTGTTGTGAAAACGGCCAAGTATCTTGGCCTACATTTCGACTCAGACATGAGCTGGAACACCATGACAAGCCATGTTGCACGCCGCGTTGCCGCTAAGATTGGGCTACTAAATCGAAGTGCAGCATGTTTGCCTTTTTCTTGCCGTGTTCAGTTTTTCAGGTCCTTTATACTATCAGAATTTGACTATGCATCTGCTGCCTATGCCCCTTTCTTATCGTCTTATCAGGATAAGCGCCTAAATAGTTTGTTCAAACGTGCGGCTCGCTCGGTGTGCAGGGCAGCCCCTCGCACTCACACGGCTCCCTTACTTGAACGCATGAATGCCCATACCCTCAGCATATACACCCACATGCACATTCTTGTATTCATTTGGCGCTGCCTGAACAAATCTTCAAGTACTCTGTTTTCAAGCCTTTTCACCCGTAGTCCCTCTCTCCGAACACGCGGAGGGAGCAGCAAGTTACTCATCATTCCTGTCTCCCCACTGCATCCTCAGCTAAGCGCATTAGCCATGCTGGAGCTATCCTGTGGAACCAGCTCCCAGACACAGCACGCCTCGAAAGAAAGCGCTCCACTTTCAAATCGCTAAGCCTGGCCTTTCTGTTAGCAGTACCGTCAACTAGGATGAACTCATCTGCTTCACTACCTCTCTCTCTCCCTCTCTCTCTCTCTCTCTCTCTCTCTCTCTCTCTCTCTCTCTCTCTCTCTCTCTCTCTCTCTCTCTCTCTCTCTCTCTCTCTCTCTCTCTCTCTCTCTCTCTCTCTCTCTCTCTCTCTCTCTCTCTCTCTCTCTCACTCACTCCTTTCTTCCCGGTTGCCGTGCTTGTGACTTTTTTCCCCTGCTGCCGTGCTCATATTGGTTATCTAACTACAGCTGTATCTTCTTCTTGGTTCAGTTTGTCCGCTTATTATTATATTTTCTTTTCTCTTATTATCAGTGGGACCATTGTCATTAGGTTTAGTCCTGTTTTGGAACTCCACTTAAAAAAAAGCCAAACAACAACAATCAGAAGTGTGGATATTGCCGGGTGCAGAAGTGTGAATTTTACAGTAGAACTCCCCTTATCCGGGCAGGCTGTTACCGAGCACTAGCCATGACTAGGAATAACCAGTAACACTCGCATACATGTACATACCTAACTTAGGCATGCAAGTAAACATTGTCTTGCCTACTATCCATAGGCTTCGCGGCCGTTTTACTTAAAAGCCAATTTTTGTGACGTAAAGGGGTCAGAAACCCCCCGGTAGGCAGGTACCAGGATTTGGGGCGTCCGGATAATGGCAGTTTTGCTGTTCTGGCACACTGCATGAGTCAAAGACATAATTATAGTGGGTTGTTATTGCCTCCCTTGCGGATGGCTTGCCCATGGCTTACCTCCAGTAGCATGTCGATTGTGGTGACCACCTTGTTCAGGAACGTACAGGCGGCTCGCTCTTTAGAAAGCCCCAGGCCTGGGGGTCGTCGTATCACGCACTTGGCGGCTAGGTAGAGCAGAAATGCCGGTGACATCTTGAACGAGAGGTCCTGCGGCTTGGCATCGCACACGATGGCACGCAGCAGGGAGTCGTCGCGGCCCCGTGACACAATCAGCACGCACGGCAGACTGGCCGGTGGTGTGCTCGAAGCGGACGACTGTGGGCGGTTGTTGGCAGCCGATGCCGCCATTGTTGTCGAGGCAGCTGTTACCTGGCCGACTGTCTTGACCGGGTGGTTGGCTAGCGAGTAGGTTGGCTGCGGTGTGGCCGAGTCGTCATGACTAAAATCCGAGTCACGATAGCCACGACTAGGCAAATCTGGTGTCGATTCCTGTCAAGTTGAGCAAACAAAGGCAACGAAACATGACATGGACCGTGCTCTTCAGAATGACACATCTGCCAAAAACAATCCTGTCCAGATCAGCAAAAAAACATGACATACACGATGTTGCTCTTCGGAATGACTCAAAAGCAGAAAACGAACAACACTGATCAATTTTCAAATGTTGTGTGCAAAACGCTAACACTCCACCTATGGTCGAAACCGTTTCAATCGTACATGCTTGCATACCGGTGAGGAATGGACAAGAAGAATTCGACCATATTAAATATAACACAAACCAGGCATGTAGCCTGCCATTGGGAACAATTTCGACCTAGGTTCAGCATGCACATATCGATAATGATGACATGCACCAGCCATCATACACATATGCGGCCGTGCACCCCCCCCCCCCCCTCCTAAAAGGGGGACCAGACCAGCTATTCCCCTGCAAACTCACCGGTTCGGCGGTGTCGGGTCGCGCCGGCGTTTTCCTGCTCTGCCTCTGGTGCTGCACCGTCAGCGCTCCCAGAGAACTGGTCCGCCGCACGGGTGGCGCTGCTGCTGCCGTGGAAACCGCCGCATCGGCCACTCCTGCTCCCGGAGCGGCGACGTCGGAATCACGACGAGGCCGGCTGACAACGGCATAGGTATCGGCAGGAGCGTGCAGGGCTGCGTGAGAATACAATTGAAATAAACATGGGCAAGACAGCGGACATGAGTAAATGCAACACTGAGCCAGTCATAGCCAGTCATACTACTGTAAAATATAACGAAGTGCTACCTCGGACGAGTTAACGAGGAGAATCTGTCGTTAAAATAGAAACCGTTATACAGAATTCGATACAGTCATATACTGTTCTATTGAGCGTTGAGAATGAGTGAGAATCGTTACCTTTGGTACACGTAAACTAGTCAATATTGGGAAATCGTTCTATATGCGCCTCATTACAGTAATGGCTTTCGCAGTATGGAAAATATGGTACATGTACATGTAAGGAGGGGGGGGGGGGGAGGGGGAGGAGGAAGGGGGGGGGGGGGGAGGAGGGAGGGGGGGGGGAGGGGGGGTCCCAGTATACTAGATCTAGCACACAGCTACCGTAAGACTAGCATAATTATTGCAACGTCATAATCAGCTGGTCATTATACACTCAGCGATCTTCTGATTCTTCTACAGAGGTGACGTGTGACCACCATTTATCCTGTAAAAGTAGAAATAGCAATGGTCTCAGGGAATGGTCCCTGTGACCATTGCTATTTCTACTTTTACATTGTTCTGTACTTTTACATGATAACGGGTGATCACACGGTGCACGAACACCTCAATACAATTCACCCACAGTACAGCCGGGCGCCGAAGAACGGAGCGCTGAAGAACGAACAGCCTAGAGGCTCACCAAGCACTGCATGCCAATGTATTAGGGGTGAAAGTTGGCACTGAGATCCCGAGTTCGAGTACTCTGATTTTCTCCGATCGAATATTCGAGTATTCGAGTATTCTTCATCTCCTAAAAATTGCACACCAAGGGCCTTAAAATCACATGATACAACCCTGATTGAACCGAGTGGCAGTCATTTTTCTCGGGTATAGTGGTTGGTGGGTCATTTGGGCTCTCTCTACTCGTGAACAAATGTTCACCACACCGTCTGCACATCAATATCTGCCGACTGCTGCTCTGAAACCGCAGATTTCTGTGGTAAATGCATGTACCATGTATGAACGAGTACTCTGATTTATTCCGAGTACGATTATTTTTGAAAAAACCGAGCGAGTACTCGAGTATTCGGTATAATTGTTTCACCCCTACAATGTATACACGGTAACTCGCGTGCATAGACCGTAAAACATGAAGATAGGAGCGCTCTAGGCTAGGAGGCTGACCCCACAGTTCATCGGCGACCAACGGTACTATCAGGGAAATACTTCTGAAGTTGCCGTATCCATTCGGCATAAGCGAAGCCATTCAGTCATTCAGCATAAGCGAAGCTGTGGACGCAGGAATACATATAGTAGTAGCTTACACCACAGTGAAGCCAGTCTAAGACGACCACTCAAGGGACCTTAAAAACATGATCTCTGTTACCAGGTGTTCTCCGTATCCAGGGTTATTTGACTGGAAATAGCATCCCCTGGTCCTGGTTTCAAAGGTCTTCTAGGACAGGTGGTTGCCTTATCCGAGTGGTCTCCTTGACAGGTTTTACTGAACTAATGATAATAAGAACAATAATAGCTACCGTACCTTGAGTGCTTGAGACGAGGCGGCGATGCGCACCCAACTTGGGACTGCTCGGCTCGGTGGCTGCCCTGGCACCCTGGCGCAGGTCCGTGCGTACCGGCTGCGGTTCGCTGTGCCAGGGCAGCTGCTGGAGACTGCGGGAAACGAGGTCGTCGCCCGGGGACTCCACGGCGGTTGTGCCGGGACGGATGTTCTGCGCTCCGTATCGCACGTCGTTGCGCGCCACCAGGTGGAACGTCACCTCGTTCGTTTCCGTCTCCAGCGAGCGGCTCAGCACGAGCGGATTCTCCCGATCGTCGACCAGGCGCTGTTCGTTGCTACGCACGCCATGGCTCAGGATGTTGGCGTGTTTCGGTTCGATGCGCACCAGCAGAGTGAACTCCTCGGGCTTGCACACGTGGCTCAGATTATACTTCTCCAGTGCATTCTGAACAATGGATGCTAGGCTGTCCTCCACCGAGCACAGAATGCTCTTGTATGGGATTGTCGGAGAGATAAGATCACCAAACACCTGCAGCAGACCAAGGAGCAATCAGACATAAACGCACGCACACACACACAAATGCGCAAGAATTCACACGCACACACAAACGCACATGATCAATACGCAGGCAGTGGAATGCACCATAAAAAAAAACAGTAAAAGTAAATTATCGTGTCCGTTCCTGAAGGGAACTCACGACGGCCGCTAACACCTGGTAAACCCTAGCGGCAGATGCAGCGGCTATTACGGTGGGGGTGAGCGGATACGACTCACAACCACTGGCACAAGAACCGAGAAACTCCATTAGCTGCATCCATGTATCCCTTGTTCCTGGCCACAAGTTCCCAGTTGACTGTGGGTAGCAGCATGGCTGGAAAAACCGCTCCCAGGCAGGACTTGAACCAGGTACCTCTTGTATATCAATCATGGTCTTTGACAAACCCACTGTGCCTGCCTGCCTGGAACACACTATAACATCCCAGTACTGTAGAACGGGTAATTTTAGCGACGTAAAAACCCTAGCGAATTTAGCGATCGACTCATTTTCGCTAAGGTTTCAAGTCGCTAATCCGTTGAGACATTAGTAGTGCACTGGTGATCCGTGAGTAAAATCGCTGCAAATCGCTAAAATAAAACGTCGCTAACCGGTTGACAATGGGAAAACGCTAAAATTAATAGTCGCTAAAATTACACGTTCTACAGTATTGCCACCCTTGGTTTCAGCGCTGAACCAAGCATGTAATGAACACACTCGCTCACGGGCATTTGTGGACAGAGAGCAGAAAGTGCGGCAACTCACCTTCAATGTGCCCCCACTATCTGGACTGCCATCCTTGCCCTGATACTGTTGCAGTTTCTGCACCAGCTTCTGTTGCCGTCGGCGACGCATCACCGCCTCCGGGTTGCTAAGGCTACGCGTGAACGTCGAGCTGACCATATCCGTATCCGAGGAAGAGTCGCCACCGCCACCACCGACAGCGCCCCCGGCTGCTGCGTGACCACTGTCACTGGAGTCGGATCCGCGCCTCCCATCCGGCGACGGATTGGACGCCGACGGTGTAGAGTGTTTTGCCCTGGGATTCGAACAAAAACAAAACAAAAGAAGTAAAATATCGCGTCCGTTCCTGATGGAAATCGCGACGGCTGGTAACACCGGATAGAGCTTTTCCCAAAGCAACGCAGAGAGGAAGCTCTGTCGCAAATATGCTTGTAGATAAACATCGGGGCGGCCAGAGACGATCCTATTTCTTCACTGTGTACCACAAGCCACTCCACACTGCTTCAAAGCAGCAATCCGAATGCATATGATTATCTACGCGCTGAAACGTAATTCAAAAATGGACAAGTGCACACATAGGAAGGCACGAGACTGTTTGGACAACACCACTGCCACGAAAAACAATTGGCATCCCCGGTGCATCGCTGCTGGGTCTCGACCCGTGCAGCAAACAAAGTCATAGTACGAGCAGTGTGCACACCTCCTAGCACTCACTTGCGTGACTGCTGTCGATTCTTGAAGTTGAGGCGAGACAGGCTGCTGCTGCGCTTGCTTGACTGCATGGAGGCCGCCGCGGCTCCCGTGGACCCAGCTGCCGGCGGCGCACCTCGGCGTTCCTTGCTTCGGCCGCGCTGATTGCCGCTCGACATCTTGCGTGAGATTCTCTTGAAGATGCCGCCCTCTTTCTGTCCGCTCTCGGCAGCACTGGCGGCGGAGGCAGGCAGGCCGGCATAGCCGGGACGGTTGCGTTGACGTAAGTAGAACCGGCCCTCCAAGTCATCCTTGTGCCACTTGAGCTGCACCAGCAGGGGAATCTCGGCATCGTCCAGGGGTCTCTCGTCTGCACAAACACCGACATACACGCACGCACACACACAAATATAAACACACACACACACACACACACACACACGCACACACACACACGCATACGCGTGTAGGCACAAACACACACGCAGATACGGACGCAGACACGCAAATGCAGGCATACACACACACACACACACACACACACACACACACACACACACACAAACGCACAAGCAGACAAACACATGCTCACACAGATACATGGATAAGAGACAGAGGAGAAAAGAGATTAATAATTTTATCACTAGGTCTGGGCAATTCAAACCACAGCAACGTTACACAATGTCACGCAATGAGCTTCCCCAGTGAGCAACGCCAAGTAAAGTAGAAAGAAATTTCTCGTGACAAGTTCTCCTCAATTGGGATGTGAAGTTATCCTATTCCATTCCCTGGGGTGCAAATAATTGATGGACCTACGTTTTGGTTGTGGCGAACAATGATAAAAAAATGTGCTACCCTCACTTCACAAGTTGGAATGGGACAAAGGTTCGACTTTTGTTAGAGGTTTGGCATGTCAATTTTAGACTTAGGAGCAAAACAATGCACTCCATGCAGTTACAGGAAGGCATTCAACACGACATGTGAAAAGTGGGTAAGCCAGATTTCAAGGAGTGTAAGTCAGGATACCCCTCCACAGGCGAACAGCTTTCAGGGGAATCCTTCAAATATAGATAAGCACAAAACCCGTGAGTAGACATACGTAACATGTCGCTTCAGCTGATTCTGTTTATTGCCATTCGAAAACTCGTGAGTAGAGACACTTTTAAAACAACTTTTTGTTCCACCGGATTTTCGTTTGTAACTACAAATTATTACATGTAACTTGAACTGCCATGTTCGTAACATGCAGTATGACCCAGTGGAACAGTGGTTCCGACATGCAGTGACAGAAAAAAGGAGGAATTTAAGGCCAGGGTTGGTATTAATGAGGTATGCCGTACAAGAGTTCACCCGAGACTGATACGAATATGGTCAAACAACGCGACACTTTTCCTCGCAGACAAGAGTGCGATAATACTAAGAATGACACATTAACACAACATTTCTGGTGTCAATTTGCTACTACAGAGTGCAGTGCAGTGTTGTCGAACGGGCTAGACAGTTTCAACAACACTCAAACACTGAAATACTGCACCGATTTATATAATACAGTAAAAGCTGTCACGGCGACCACTCGGATAAGGCGACCACCTGTTCAAGAAGGCCACTGAAACCAGGATCAAGGGACTCTATTTCCAGTCAAATAACCCTGGATAAAGCGACCACCTGGTAACAGAGACCACGTTTTGAAGGTCCCTTGAACGGTCGTCTTAAGACAGGTTTCACTGTAACTCAATCACAGACTGATGAGCTGAGAAGGGAACGATAGAAAATAATAATTATCGTGTACCAGTGAACAAGAGTTACAAGGCCATAGGAACTGCCCATTACGGTGAAACGGCATCTAAAACATATTGAATGGTGCCGTAGAGATTTCGGCCGGATCGTCCATCAGTTTTGGTCGCGCCGGTGGTCGTGGCGTGTACGTACAGTCGTGATACTTCAAAACTTAGTGACAAAGAGGAATACTTAACATTGCCATGGTGTGAACGTATTAGCGACAATACGTTCACAAAGCTGCAGTCAATAATTCATGAAAACTGATTTTTAAAGGAGTCCAAAGCTGTAGTGCGTTTAATCCATTTGCTGAATTCACGAAGACTTCTGTGTTCCTACCATGGGGTGGGGAGGGGGTGGAAGAGTACAGTACTATGCAGGCTATATTGCGATAGTGTATACCGCGGACCCCACCACCACCACCACCACCACCACCACCACCACCACCACTACCACTAACCAAAGTTCCCTTACACCACAACTCAGGTGACCGTCACCCACAACGGGTGGAAGGTGGGGTATTCCGTTGAACACTGTAAACATTACAAGTCCACCCTCGGTGCCCGACCGCAGTAAGAAGATGCAGACCGATTTGTAGATGAAAGTACAAATACAGGACAAGCCAGAAGTAAATCTCAGCAAGGCGTCAGGGAATGAAGCAGGCGCACCACGCACTACGGGAGCACTACGGCTCAAAATTCACTACATTCCTCAAACAAACGACACGATTACATGTACAGTTTTCTTGAAGACAAGAATGCATTAATACTGACAAGTACTCTCTGCTGTACCTAATCCATTGTCCATGTTCATTCGATGTTGCCTGTATTTCACCTGATGATAACGCATGAAAGTATACTAGTGAAAACTTTCAAAATGTTCAAGAGCCTGAAGTGTGTCCTACTTCTCAGTATTATTATGATTACTTGTCACCGGCATAATAAGTCAGAATCGTGATGCCCATGGTCACTATGTAACACATTTCTCAATGGTGCACTAGAATTCAATGCATCTGCTGGCTTCCACCAGTGCCTCCTGAGTCCTGGTGCTGACACAGCCAAGTGTCCTCAATCACTACCTGTCAGGCTAGACCCTCAGGATCATTAGCACCTCATTCAGGTAACTGACAACGCGGAATGTCACGGCTGGGAGCTTCAAGTGAAGCGTGGCCCATGCGTGACACGGCTGAATGAGCTGATAATGACCTGGAATTATTAAATGGTGAGCCAAGCACTCCCCACCCCACTCTGACCAGTTCTGAAGGCATGATTAAAGTCACAGGTCTATGTTTGGCACATACAGTGACACATCTGTAAAATTAATGCCAGAAAATTTGTAGTTTATAGCCAAGATCAAAAATTTAAAAAAAAGCAAATTATCGTGTCCGTTCCCGAAGGGAACTCGCGGTGGCCGCTAACACCCGGTAAACTCTGTTAGCCCTAACGAGACGCTGTACTGTAAAAGCAGAAATTTTCGGTGGTGTAATATTTTCGGTATTCTCCAAAATCGACGGTTCGGTGGAGGGAACGTTAAGACAAACCCGTTTTCCAGGTAAGTGCACTAGTATTAGTACCAAACTTTTCGGTGCGTTTAATTTTAGGTAAAATTGTCCGCACCGAAGTTACCGAAAATGAAACACAACCAAAAATTTCAGCTTTTACAGTACTTTATTCAAAGTCCAATGATTGGTACAGTAAAACCTTGCCAAGGCGACAACTCTGATAATGTGACAACCTGTCCCCAAAGACCGCTGCAACCAGGACCAAAACATGGACTTTTAGTATATCTTAAAGTAAAGGGCGACGGGCACCATCAACAGAACTCAAGCACCAAGAGGACCATACCAGATACCGGTAGAAGTTACCAGACTATTCATAAGATTGCATGTTCTACTGGCTAAATTTGCTATGGTGAGACTTCCGACTTCATTGTTCAGTGGAAATCGCTGCCTATTTTTTCTTTCTAAAAAGTCCACATTTCTCCAGACACTGGAGTTAATATGCAGGTGTTCAAATAGGTGTAAGGGCCCAAAGTTGAAACTCACGCCATAACATGGTCAGTGTCGCAGACATGTGCAACATGCCGGAAACCTGTCCCCTGAGTTGCCTCCTATTGCCACGATGCCCCATCTCATGCTAGGGGCCCGAAGTTGTAACTCACTCCATTGTAAGATGATTATCAGACATGAGCAAAGCGACGAAAACACATCTTCTCTCTCAGTTGCGTCCTACTTCCACAATGTTCCATCTCTGCTGCGGCCCCATGTTCCCGCCTGCCACTTGGCTTAGGCATGAGCTTAGACATGACGCTTGCTTTCAAAACTGCAGAATCCATCGCACTCATAAATCTACCCTAAACAACATTTTACTTTGATAACTCACGCATTAGGCTGCGGAGGTCAGGTTCTGATGGGGCGCAACGACAAAGAAGCAATATCTTAAGCCAACGGGCACGGGTCAATCGCCATATGTACTGTCAAGTGATTCTACCGACGGTTGTAGCTCCAAGCATGGCCCTAGAGGCAAACACCGCTTACACATGCAATCTCCCCTTTCTCACTCCCTGTGAGTGTCTCACAACCCCCGGCGCTCGGGCAGCCATGCTGAGTACTGCACACATGATTGACACAAAACGAGCGGCTTGTTCCTCTTTTCCCGATCTGCCGCTGCTGCTGCTGCTGCGGCGTCAGTGCTTCACCATTGCCTACTGTACAACACGTCACCTTCAGTGCAACTATAATTTGGGTAATTTCAGTAGAGAAACCAGGCACCTAAGCTTAGATTACTAGTACAGTCAACTTGGCTAATAACGACTGCAGATGTAACGACAATTCGCGAATAACGACAGGATTTTCATGCCCAGGGCAAAGTCCCATCCAACTGTAACACATAATATTATAATGAGACTTCGGGTATAACGACACTTCGCGAATAAGGACACTGTTCTGATGCCCTGCCGAGTGTCGTTATACGCAAAGTTGACTGTACACTTAAGGTTACTACAGCATGCACTGTATGTGAAGGGAATGCTGGTCACCTAATTCTACATTATAACTGAAACCTGGCAGGTTCCTGACACCGGAACTTTAATACACCTAACGTGTTATTCAGTACATGTACCTCCGTTGGCGCGCACTTCGACCAGGCAGTACTCCTCGGCTGTCGTCAGCATCTTCATGTCGGGCCGGAACTTCTCGAACAGCGCCTGCACGACCTCCGGACACGCCGCTGTGTTGGCTACACGCACACACTTCGTCACCACCTTGCTGCCGGCCTCTTGGTAGAAGAACCGCATCACGCCGTGGAAGGTCAGGTCCTGCGAAGCACACCACACCACAACACAGGAAATCAGGAACACTACGAAGAGTAGAAAACACATGAGAACGAGTTATGCAGCAACAGTCCACGACTGTAACAAGATGAAAAACAGTCAGTTACATTTATTACTGGCTCAGTATCCGAGTTAAAATATGAAGACCATGCAGTGGAAGTACTTGTGGACAACTTGAAACATGAAAGTTGCTTGCGAGGAGTCCCAAGCTTTTCTTTTCTTGAGTTTGATACGATACCCACGACAGTCAACTTCGCTAATAACGACTGCGGATATAAAGACAATTCGCGAATAACGACAGAATTTCCATGCCCAGAGAAAGTCCCATCCAACTGTAATACATAATAATGAGACTTCAGGTATAACGACACTTCGCGAATAAGGACACTTTTTTGACGCCCCGCCGAGTGTCGTTATAAGCGAAGTTGACTGTATATTGTTTTCTTATGTTGGTGTCTCTCACATGGCATTGGTCATCCGGCACGAACTGAGAAGCAGGTGGACAAGAGAACTTTTGCTTTTCCTCTTTTTTTGGAAGCTATCGTCGGTTCCCTACCCGGAGCCCTGCGGTTCAGCTAAGCAGTATCACGACTCACAACTCGCCCAGGGCGCGTAGGGAGACAGCACAAGACCTTGATACACTAGAGCAGGTGCATTTCGATCCCAGACGTGTAAGTTCGGTGAGCACCGTGATTGCTGCAGCTCGCAGCGGGAAGGGGGGGGGATTTCAACATCACACAAATTCATTCAATTTCACCATAATAATTTACTGCCATGACAATACAATGCCAGTGGGACTGTCCTCTGTTGCTTTGCAGGACATCAATCAGCACGTAGAGAACCATTGAATTGTCGTGTTCCCTTAACCTCAACGTCATGTTCTATGGTAGAAGTCACACAGACAGCATGTATGGATCGAATCAGACTTCCGATACGGAGAACATTCCACACCCAGTGAAATTTGTCTAGGCCGACCGCTCTCAGGACCCTCGAAACGCCCTCCCCCCTGTACAGATGGTACCCGTGTAGAGGTGGTCCCCCTGTACAGGTGATCTCTGTGTACAGGTGGTCCCCCTGAAGAGGTGGTCCCCGTGTACAGGTGGTCTCCGTTTACAGGTGATCCCCGTGTAGAAGTGATCCCCGTGTAGAGGTGGTCTCCGTGTAGAGGTGGTCTCTGTGTGCAGGTGGTCCACGTGTACAGGTGGTCTCCGTATACAGGTGGTCCCTGTTTACGGGTTATCTCGTGTACAGGTGGTCGGTCCCCATCTCCAGGGTCATGTAAGCGGAGGTGATACTCCCCAGACCTGGACATTTCTGGTCCTCAAGGAGTGGTCGGCTTGACAGTGCTGCACTGTGTTTCAAACACACATTCGGCGCAGCATGCGTACACAAATACCCAGTGCCGAAAAGGGACCTGGTGATGGGGTTTTCACGTACAATACAAATTCGAGGGAGGGGGGGGGGGGGGGGAGGGGTATGATGGGTAGAACATGTGTACGCATACATAACTTGTCCAGCGCTGGATGATGTACATGTACTGTACATGTAGATGCTGACATTTCCTGAGCGAGCCTATGCACAGTTTTTTTCTGTACTTGCTGATCAACAAGGACAGAGGAATAGCACCCTGCATCATGCCTGGGCCAGAATTATAATGATCTTTCATGAAGTGATGTGTTTCTGCAAGAACAATAGATCACCGGCATCGTGTTGGCATCGTGTTTCGAACAGTGGTGCCATTTCATGACTGACTCCGTTACTGAAGTCACCAACACGACTTTTCATGCGCGAAAACGCATTCATACAAACACAAATAACGTGTTGTGACTTTTACGTGACATAGTAAGTAGTTGGTACCTGTGGATGAAAAGCATTTTTTTTCTTTCAAGCCGCAACTGATCGCAGACTCCTGTATCGTCCAGTGTTTTCGCCCCACAGACGGCCACATACTACACACGTGTGCAGCTGGATAAACAGATGAATGCCAAGGGTAGCAGCGCAACAACAGCCTCTGGCGCTCCACAGAGCCCCTCGACAACTCCAGTCTCCAGGCTGGCATTCCTCTCATGGCGAACAACACACTATCATCCTGAAAAAAGGTTTTGGTACTGAAACGCTCAAGTAATTAGTTATGATTACATTTACGGACACGTGCTTGATTTACACGCGTAAACACACCACCGAAAGCACAGGATGCGTAAGTAAAAAGAAGTTCTCAGCGCTGATTACCGAATACGGACAGGATTGTGATCGCTTTGAGCGGACATGTACTGCGCAATCCCAAGCAAACAGAAAAATAACAGTGCGCCATCAAGCATCACCGGAACGCCACAAGAACAGACACAGAGAGTGCATAAGTATTGTGATCCGTACCTCGTTCGGCTCGCTAATCTCGAACAGATCCAGGCGGCTGGCGTTCCATTGAGCCACCAGTCGTCGCAAGCGCTCCAGTTCCGTCTGCATGTTTTCGGCTCCGGCTTCCGCAGCCCCGGTCTCGGAACTGTCCGTCGCAGGTCCGTCCGTCCCCGCCATGTCGGGTACTTGCACAGGTAGCACAGTCCACGCTCGCACGAACTAAATAGCCAGATCTGACGGAAACGACTCGATGGCGCAGTAAGTCGCTCGTCTGCTGAATGGCAACAAGCAGCTGCGTTCAAAGATCACTGCACTGCGCCTGGCAAACAGGCGATATCTGAAGAGCAAATTCCCAGTCGCTTGAGCTCATAGTCATACAGATCGAACGTCCACTGCAAAACTCGCGCCAAGCTTGCTGGAATCACGCTACGTGTCGACAACTTGCGGTCGCTGGGCCTTCACAAACACTGGTGCTTTGCGCTTGCCAAGCCTCCCCGCAAACCTGCCCAACACGACAGGGCATTTACGATCTTGGTGGTCGATTCCAAGCTTATCTCACTCCACCATCTACCTAAAATTCTCCCTTTGAATCACTGCCACTACACAGTCAGTAGTACTACATCATACATGTACTGTCAAGAGACTACTACAAGTACAATCATAGTACAACAGCAACGCTAGTAGATCTAGTAGTAGATGTACGCTACTCAGCAGACTGATGTCCAGATGATTAATTTGTAGAACGATCGCTGCCACCCTGTTCAAGCTGCAAGAAGAACGGTGATGTCAACACTAACTGTCGTTTCGTGTACTCCATGGGCAGCTAGCTAGCTAGCTGGACAGGCCCACCATTTTTCCAGAAAAAAGAACAGTCGACCTCTACTCGTCGACTGTCGTCAGTGTCGACTCCGCTCGATCTACTCAAACGCGGACTACAAAAGAGGTTTGATCGGGCACACATGAGGCATGTGCGTGAGTCTAGTACTGGATTGTAATCCAAGAGTCCATAACCCAAGACGGCAAGAGTATGTAACTGTGATCTCTTTTCTATGGGCCAACCGCGCGGCGCGCTGCCTTCATTACATCATTCAGCTGCAGTCCGCGCACTGCGGAAAATCAAACACCGCACTTTCCCTCTAGTTTGAAATGAACTTTCGTACGGAACTGGAGTTCACGCGCCAGAATTCAGAGATTGTGTAGGTACTGGAACGAATCGAGCAAAAACGGATGGGCTCGTGCGAGAAATTGAGAGTTTGAATGCATGCTTTCAGAGCGTGATGAAGGCAAGTTACGTAATGAAGGCAGCGCGCCACGCATGCACCCATAATCACAGTTGCATACTCTTGTAGTCTTGGGTTATGGACTCTTGCTATACTACAATGTACCAAGACTCGAGTACATAACCCCCAGGGATTATGACTCTAGTCTGTACTCTTGTCAGTCTTGATACACTACACTACAGTACAGACTCAGTACTACATGTACATGACATGACTGTAGAGTGTAGTAGAGCTAGCAGACTAGCACTAGCAGTCTTTTCCAGGACTGATCAATGACAATGAAATCCGATCTTGTGAATCAAGCCCAGCGCCAGTGCATGGCCCAGTACAGTGTTCAGAGGTCTAGCGCTGCGTAGCTGATCGGATTTCCGCAAGCAGTCTACGAAGCCAAAATTTCGGCCAGCAAAAAAAGGCTGTACGTGCAGCGTAGTCTATCGACCTACTTATGAAGTAGTCCGTAGTGTCTGTACTGTAGTCACTAGTACAGTAGTAGCAGTACTCAGTAGCGCTGGAGAGTGGAGTACCAGATCTGCAGACCCGTAGTACGTACCGGCCTGGCTGACAGACTCGTGTCACTCATATTCAGTCATCAGTGCCGTGTGTGTTGCGTAGTCGATCGAGTCAGCGCGTGCAGTGGGAAAACTGTACGGCCACGCCGCACACTTGATACCTCCTCTATCACTGTCGAGCGGACTGGCACGTGCACGAATCAGACGTCGTTATTGACATCACGATTTACGAAAAGGTGTACAAGGACATGGAAATCCAGTCGCTTGACCGGGGCCGGCGCCCTCAGCGCGTACAGAACAGCGCTTGATCCGATGCGATCAGCGCTAGCGGGCTGCAGCATGTGTGCACTGCTTACCCACGGCTGCATGGCCAGCGCCCTGGGGCCGCTAGACGAGCGACCGGATTTAGATGTCCACGACAGTAGGACAGACGCCATCGTACAATGTACATGTACAAGTAGTAGGAGGCAAATGATTGTCTTGTTTGACGGCAGAATTTTCGGATTTTGTCCCATTATGCCCTGGCATAAAAGGACTTTTGAGACCAGACTGTCCGCATACCCTTACGATGCTGGCTGAAGAATAATGCTCCATGCATCAAGAGGAAATAGCCTGGTGAATGTTATCCCATATATGGACCGCCAAGGGCTAGGCCGCCACGTGCACGCCCTGACAAAGTGACATCATTTTTCACACCCATGCGGCTGCTTCCTCCATCCTTACGTGCAGTAAACATCCGCAACAGGGCATCGCATAATTTTGCGGATAATGCCGGCAGAAAAATTGGCAGAATTCGGTACGTTTTCTGGTGAGTTTCATGCATGTTTGGTATGTGGATAAAGCAATGGAGCAGAATTCGAGGAATTGCCGGCCATAAGGTTTGTATGGTTCTGCCAATTTCACTGCTTTTCCGAGTTTCGAGCAGAATCTGCCACCAGAAAAAGTACCGAATTCTGCCAATTTTTCTGCCGGTATTATCCGCATATGCCTAATCACGCATGTCATGTACAGCTCCAAATCTCGAGCAATCTGGCAGCCATCAACAATCATCGACTGTCCAGAAACGATGTGTTGCAACTTACTAGGTAAACTGCATAAGGTGCTTTACACGCGCTCTCTCTCCTTCTCTTTCTCTCTCCTTGAAGGAAATCAACTAATTGTCGAAGTACAGTAGTTTTAATACTACTTGTAAAAAAGTTTTTTCTTCCACATTTGCCGCGAGGAATCACGCGCGCCATTCTGCTAGGCATGGGCGGGTAATGCTAGCACTATGGCTGGCATTATACATGTAGTCCCATTTTTCCAGGTGGCATAATGCTGGCATTATAACACCATTTCCCATGCAAAATTGGCATTACAAGCATAATTGCCGGTCGACAACGGTGTCATGCATGAAGCTGGATAGGTCCAGTTCTAAAAATCGTGCATCTTAACCCGTCTGGCTTCGTCCGGAGACTTGACATCGCAAATCAACCTTCTCAGTGGATTGTTTCAGACAACATGCTCACTACTGTTGAAGTTTTTTTCTTCTAACACTTTGGCCTTGATCCAAGACGGCCTTCGTAAATCGACATTTCCAACTTTCAAACTGGCATATGGAGTGGTGTGAGCATTATACAAGTGGCATTATATCTTCATATTATGAGCATTGCCTTTTAGCATTATCGCAGCAAATAACTAGCATTACCCGCCCATGCCTACATTCTGCTCTGTTCCTGTGGCAACGACGTCGATCCATAATCACGTCTTGCTAAAGGCTAGCCAAGTACATGTACATGTACAGTGAAAAACACGCAAAACACGCAAAACACGTATTGCGCACCCCGATCGACGTGATCAAGTACGTCAAAAGGCATGTACATGTACATGTACATGTACATGTACATGTACGTTGTAACGTGGTGCTAAAGGTCCCTATTGGTGTTGGTGCTGTATCAGTCATACATTGTACATGTTTCACTTCCCCAGGTTACCACGAATATCGCAACGTTGTTTTGGTGCGTTTTATGTCCCCATGACGACGAGACCTATGGTCGGCTGAGGGCAAAAGTCTCACCATCCCCATGCATGATCCCACTATGCTGCTAGTATGCAATGTTTTGTCTTTGCCTGTGAGCTGTGATCATTGTATTATAATAAAAATAAAAAGTAAAAAGGACCAAGGAACTACAAGTTACACCATAATGTCCACTAACACCACCAGTTACTAAACAATCAGCTCATGCGATAACATTGCACGACACTGACCGACGGTACTGACGTTCTACAACTAACTGGCCAAAAAAATAAAAACCCTCGTCAGAAAAAAGGATGTATGGACCGAAGCCAGAACAACAAAACTATTGACAATTCACACACGAGCAGTAGGCCACTGACAAGTCTAAATCAGTCGGATGCGGATTTTTGGCAACGCCGGAATGGGGAAGTTGCAACAGGTTCTACTGAGCTACTGTTGTCGACACGCCCACGACGCAAAACGGAAAATTATGGAAGGGTGAAGGCGCCGGGGATCAGGGAATACAGAGAAGAGACAGGTGCACGAGGCGGGAATGGATGAAGATGGTGAGAGTGATAGCAGCGAGAATGAGGGAGAGGGTACCCAGGAGCCTACCATTGATCATGCAGTGTCTTGAGTACTCGTAAATCCGCTGTATTCAAGCAGTTGGTGTCCAAAACCCAGAGTTTGCAGTTGTATGATGTGTGGTGTGCTACGCTAGTAGTTTTCGTCTACTCTCCATATTAGAAGCATGTTTATTTGTACTCGTAACTCAGATCAATTCAAACAAAAACAATTCGTCACAGCACTCACACTCTTCACTATCATTTTAAAAATGTGCATGTGCATGTGCATGTACCAACACCCACCTACCCAGTACCATACAACTTTCTCACCTGCACGTCTCCAACGTACGCATGCTTTCACACTGCTCGCTGCTCATGTAATCACGCCTTCAATAGTGCTAGCTTTAGAATATTAGTGTTTCTTGTATTAAACATAGAAGAAGAAAGAACATGGGAACGAGTTATGAAGCAACTATCCAAGACTGTAACAAGATAATAAGCAGTCAGAACGTGCGACAACAGGTCACAAAACTGATAGGTTACTGAGACATTCAACGGCCTGAGACCTAGCGCTAACACATCTCCAGTGCGCAAACCAACAGCCTTCCAACATGGAAGGTTAAAGGTTGAGTAGGACCAAAGAGGGGAAGGTGAGCGGAGCGGAAATGTGTACAAGCTAAGTTCTACGGCAACGACATTCCGCTGCGCTCACCTTCCCCTCTTTGGTCCTACCCAACCTTGAACCTCCCATGTTGGCAGGCTGTTGGTTTGCACCCTGGAGATGTGTTAGAGCAAGGTTTGATTACTGAACTGAAGTATTAGAAAGCCATTATTCTAACGAGGCGCATATATTATAACGATTTCCCAAAATTGACTGGTTTACGTGCTCCAAAGGTAACGTTTCTCACTTATTCTCAACGCTCAATAGGACAGTACATGTATATGTATCGATTTCTGTATAACGATTTCTAACGAATTCTATTATAACGACAGATTTCTCCTCGTTAACTCGTTAGAGTTAGCACTTCGTATATAAGCTGCAACCGGACTGACAACTTTATCACGTGTTTGTTCTGGTACTGCATTCCCTTCGTGTGTTGTTTCCCGCATTTTTCCACTGCTCCATACATTCTTATGGTAGTGTAGTGTGAACTAAGGCGCGTAAGAATATTCTTGCTGATTCTCTACCCCTAGTATAAATTCTGGCTCCGTTTTCGTTCTTGCTCATTCCCATGTAACTACTGATGAAAATGGGTGAAAAGCTTTTGGTATTATGAAACTGACAACCTTGTTGTTGTGTGTATATAAATTATGGCTTTTACAGTACTTTATTTCACTTCACCAAGGGAACAGGCATTTCTGCCTTATCACCAGGTCCGGAGACCTAGTTCCGACAAAATGATGAAGAGCATTCTGCAGAACTCAGATGGGGCGAGAACGAAGGAGACGAGTGGGCGACCATACAGTAACTGGGCAGGACCCTTTCCCGAAGTACCAGGAGTATTGCGCCACTCGAGAAGGCCACGCTGAA